GAACGCCATGGGCCAGGCGTGCTGGCTTCCATCTGCTGATAGCAGCAGTACGATGGCCCGGTTTGGTATCAAACCTTGCAAAAACAAAAACAAGAAAGCCAGGTACGCTACATACATACAAAGGCCGGGAACGGATGGGCCGCCTACCACACCATGCGGCGGCAAATGGAGTTGCCCGCAACTTTCCAATCCGACCGAATGCGGGAGCCAGCACATACACAGGTGTTCTGAACATTGGCCAAGGAATGACCATGGCTTGTCGCGAAGGAGCCCAGACCCCGGCCCTGGTCCCGGCCCCAGAGAATCCAACGTGCTGAGATGCCAGGGAGTAGCTCGGAGATGATGAGGCCCTGGTCGGAAAGGGAGGGAAAGCATCTGTTTGGACAGAGGGAAGGAAAGTACTCGGCTAGTGCCACTCTTTTAACCAGTGCCATGGGCCCAGCACCTTGCGCGTTCTTAGCGGCTGTCTGACCGGGTAAGGGCAATCGAGGTGTTCTTCACTGTGGAGCGGCTGGGACCAGGCATGTTCGGGCTGCCGGAGTCTCTCCGTCTAGTCTTTCTGTCAGCGTCTCATGCTCCTTGACCGTCACATCGTCTATTCCGTCGAGGCCGAGGGGAAACTGGGATTGTAGATGTGGAAGGAGCTTCATGCAGCGATCGCGTTACAGGAGAGTAGGACAGTAGAGATCGAGACGCTCCTTGCCCACACACGGTAGTGTATTCGCGAACAAGACGACAGCAAGAGGGTGATGCGCCTTTAACACAGGCAAATGGTTCATATGCAGCAAAGCGCAAGAGGCTGCTGCATCGACGAGGATCTCCCACGAGCCACTCGCAGTATACTCCGACCGAGAACTCCTGTTTTGGCACTTCCAAGGGCTGGGTTGGACAGCCCACGATGGAGCTGGACGTTGGCATGATTTCCAGGATCTAGATCAGAGGCTAGGGCAGAACAAAGTATCTGGCCCAACAAGTTTGCACCGCGGACCATGACTCGTCGCAGAAAGAAAGCAAGAAACCGACTGCCTCTGCAACCCAGAGACGGAAAATCCACGATGGGATATCATTTGGCAACGGGGCCTCAGACTGGCATCTATTTGTAGATGTGGCACCGGCAAGCCTTGGGTACCTGCTACCTTGCTTTGGCAGCCTTTGGCGGAAACCCCACACAAAGCCAGCCGGCCTCTAAGTAGAAGGTACACGGTAGGCGACGCGACATGGAGTATCGCGATCTCAGCGAATGCGAAGGGCAGGACGGGGGGACTGGAACGGGGTGGTGTGTGGGAGGGAGGGGAAAGGGGGTGTAGGCAGGTAACGTCGTTGAGGCAGTGAAAGGCTGATGCTCCGAGTTCCTCTCTCCGCTTCTGCGTCTACCGCCTCTCCCTCCCTCCCCCCCCCCCTGTCGTCACCAGTCAACCACGCTAACGATCTCAGTCTCACCCTTTACCGGCTGCCGCCGCCGCTTGATGAGCCATCACCGCTACGACTACCGCTGCTGAATGCTACCTTGGCGACTCATCATCGCTCGGCTCTCGTCCTCGTCGCCCAGCTGAGTATACGCACGCCCCCCCCCCCCCCCCCCCTCCACATTCGGTCTATGTCCATCTAGACGCCCTCTCTTCAGGTACGGGCGACGCCAATGCCAACAGAGATGCAATTGTGGACAATATCGAGGACCCCACATTTCTCACTAGCCGCTTGTCGCCCCCACATCTTCGCTCATCCCGCCTGCGCTTCTTTGTCTCCCACGAGACATTGTTGACGTGACGCCGTTCCGGATGCGACTCACCAGCAAGCGACAAACCAACGCCGCACTCACTCACACCTTCCGCCATTCGCCCTCAAGCCACCGCTCATACGCACGCACGCACACACACTGTGGTACATGCTCCACCACCACTAATCAAGCGGCACTAAAAGCGGGCGTGTTACCATGGACACTTGGGTATCTAGTACCCAGCTATTACGCTTGTCTCACACAGCACTCCCAGGTAACCGTGACGAAGGCAACTAGCTATCCACGGGCACCGTTGTGTTCCACTTGTTCGGATTTGCTTTTTTGACCCCTTTTGCTGGGTTCCTCGATACCCTCTCTCCCCCCCTCTCTCTCTCTGTCTGGCTGGACGAAGTCCTGCTTGGCTTTTGACTCTTGGTTTAGACATCCTGGGTTATACCAACGCCCCCCTCAGTCACCTCACGTCCTGCAAGCCATTTGCCATGCACAACCTCCGGAGGTGGGAAAGGATGGTGCCATGTTTCCCCAACTTGGACCCCCCAAGAAAGGCGGCATGCAGTGCACCTGCCATGCTTGGTCTTACAATGCGGTTACGGGAGCTTCAGATTAACATCCCAGCCGAGTTGGGCTCAGGACGGTGTTTCTGAAGCTGCAGACGCCTGACCAGCACTTTCAGAATCTCCTCCCTCCCCTCCCCTCCCCCACTGCCGAACTTAGTCACCGCGGACCACGGCACAAATCTGCTCAAGCTTGTCCACTGCTTACCCATGACTGACGCTGCCAGGGTCGGGGGCGACTCGCTGCATGCCATCACTTTTGTGGTCTCGGGCGATCCATTGTTTTGCCACCAGGCACCGCCCACCGCCCTGACGTTCGAATTTCTAGCAGAAATCCCTCGGCCAGCAACGACAACCATCCCTTCCTCCCGTCAGGGGCCGCTACCCTGTAGCACCGCTTGCGAATGACCCGTCCACAAACCCCCGCCTGCACACCTGTACATACGAATCGACACGTTGTTAATCCTCCCAATGGGTGATGCATCCGCGCTTCGCCCCTCTCTGATCTCTAAGTCGTCTTAGGGTCCAAGGAGCGTCAGGAGGCCGCGTCCTTTGTTGGTCCCCTCGAACGATGCGATGCACTGCCCGAATCCCATGCGTCGCCTTCCGTCCCTTGGGAATCCCCTTAGCGAAGACGTGACTAGCTGCGACGGATGCCTAACCTTCCCTTGATCACTAGGCGTGCTACGAGGGAGATGGATGACTTGAGTTCATCGATCGACTCACCTCAGCTGTGGCTCACCCGGCTGCTGCCAAGCTGCACCACACGCTGGACTTTGGTTTTCTTTGGGCGCCTCACTAGCAAGCAGGAGAAGGACGTCGTGGTGTTTAGTCGAAACCAAAGAGCAGGAAGGCGTGCAACTCCGTCCGCCGGCTTCACTGATCATCGTACCGGATGCCCGGCCGGGCTGGTGGACGCAATGGGTGCAGCACTTGGGCCGCGGAGTCTGGTCAATATGACTCGGTTGCTGGCTCAATTATCCAGAGCACCACAACTAACACAGTAATCAACCGTCACTCTTACGACTTTTCTCGGTCTGGACAGGGACAGGCAACAGGAACCGGCGATGGAGGAACGGGGGGGGGATGATCAAAACGTCCCCACAAGACGTCCAAGCCAAGAAGCAAGGCGCTTGAGTCGCCGCCTTCTGGTCGTCAGGCCATCTCCGGCTGCCATTTCGACGTTTGGCCAGCCCTGATCAGCTCGAGCTTCAATCTTGACTGAATCTTTCCCTTCTCGTTACCAGACTCATGCTCCGTCATGCTGGTGAAGCCTCATTGGAGTTCTACAAAGACGTCACGCCCGCAGCCCCCCCCCTCTTCGACCATCTTCAGGTTTGCAGCTCCCTCGGCTTCATGTCTTACTTATCCAGTCTTCTTTGGACGTGAGCGAGCGGAATGCGTGGTCCTTGGCCAAGGGACGGATGGACTCTGGTCGGCGTCGCTGCGATATCATACATACATGCAACCGCTAGGCTCGGGTCGCTAATGGCAACCGCAGTTGAGATTCTCGCAACGAACTCTGTTGCGTCCTGGCACGCGTCCCCGGACCTCATGACACGGTGCTCCAAGGTCTTTTCCTCTCTGTTTAGTTTCCGATTAGGTCCTGGGGGCCATGTGCATGCCGCTATCAGCTGCAGCAGGCCATATGCAGCCTTGTTCGCCGTCGTGGGCCCCGCGTGAGGTGCGCCATCTTCAAGCTGCATCGAGGCGTCGGCACGCATCAATGCAGTCTGCCTCGACTTGTCACCCTTCCCCCTCATGAGCGATGCGACGACGGTAAAGACACGGCACGTTGTGACCGCTGGGAACACCATGACTGGTCTGGTCGCCAACTGACACCGATATCTGCGTAACCGGGCTTGACTTGACCTACTCCGTAACAGGTTGCCTCCTGCCTGCCCACTATGTACACCGCCTCTTGCTACCCCACCGAGAGACCCTCCAACTTTTTTTCTTCCGCAGGTTTGCAACAGGCGCGACCGCCGACAGTCGATCCATCGGTCCGCCTGGCGGGCGGCATTCGGCCTTCTTCGTCCTACTGTCGAGCTCTCGTGTCGGGTGCCTCCCGAATCCTGGCCATTGCGGGCACTGAGCCCACCTTGCCCTGCCCGTTTCTAGTCCACCGACCGAAGCACCCATCCCACACACGGCACCGGGGGTCGACCCGGAGCGTCCGCGACGACGAACTCGAGTCTAACGCCTGACCTGATCCGCTACGGGCGTCCCACCGCCAGCGCGACGTAGCATGTCATCTCCCAGTCCACTGAACCCCTCTCGCTGAACCTTGAGCGTGGCCAGCTCGACGGCGAAGCCCAGCTTGTCGGCCGTGTCCCAAGTCTCGGCCTGGCAAATCAGACCATAGAGCATGCCCGCCACAAATGTGTCTCCCGCACCTACCGAACTAAGCCTGTTGTCAGTCGAGCACTTTGCACACTGTATCTAGCTGCGGTGGTTTGGCCGGAGGACGGCTCCTTACTCGACGACTTGCATGACCGGCGTCTTCACCGGGCTTGCGAATAGTTGTTGATCCTTGAGTGAAAGGCACGATGCTCCCTTGGATCCCCAGGTGCTCGTGGCCAACAATCTGCCCAAGTTGCAGTCAGCCGACGTCCGTCAGACAGCTTTCAGTAACCAACTCACGCTCGCGGTAGGCTCTCGCCTCTCAGACAGTCTTCGGCGGATGTATACCCGCAGTCCTGCAACCGTCAGCATCGTCCACGACCGCCGTCTGCGGCGGGCGGATGGCGCACCTCGGCCCAGCTCTTGGAATAGAAGACCACCTCCGCCTCGGCGGCGAGCTCTCTCAGCCCGGGCCGCCCGGGCTTCTCGACCTCGACGCTGACGGTCACGTCGTCCAGCACCTGCCTCAGTAGGCGGATACACTCGACCGTCGTCTCCGGGATCCGCCCCTCGAAATGCCACCATGTCCGCCCGCGACCCCTGAACACTTCGGCGACACGCAGGAACTCTTGGGCCGTCATCTCGGGGAGGTCGTTATGGTTAACAATGGTGCGGCTGCCCGTCGCCTCGCTGCGGAGTATGTAGCTGCTCGCCGGCAGCTGATGGCCCTCGCGGAAGAGGCAGTGATCGAAGTCGATTGCGGGCATTTCGCCCTTCGTCCGCGAGGCGTCCAGCGAGGCGATGATCTGCGCTGTTGCCTGCGATTGGCGTTCCGGTAAAGGCGAGACGAGATGTATTCGCAGGGACGTTGAGGGACACGACATGGACGGATTCCCTGCGAGCAGCTGTTGGAGGACTTCTATCGTGTTGGGGCAGTTGCCTCCCCGGCGGATGCGCAGGCTCGTGGCTCGTAGTTTCGAGTCCTCTTCGGGGAAGTGAGGAACGCTAGTACGGTTGGTCAGTCGAGAAGCCTCTAAAAACGAGGTAAGCCATCCAGGCAGAGAGGGGAGTGGAAGGTCGCCTTGCCTCATGACCGTGTCGACGTAGCACGCCCCGACGAGTATGAGGTGGTCCATCACGACGTTGCGATATACCGCTCGGCTTTGGTGTGTGAGGCTATTGAGGTGCCCTGCTGTGGTTGTCGGCCACGTCCGCAATTATTCTTCACTGGTGCAGAACGCGCCACCATGCATTGGCGGGCTGAGGCAGTCGCGAGTACGACAAAATCTATCCCGTTTCTGCACGCTAGCTTTGGGCTGCTACTCTGCCACCAAGGGTGGTTTGAAGGGTCGTGGGGTTGATGAAAGATGCGTCATTGGCACTTATCTCTGGACCGAAAGTATGCGGCACGTCGGCCTATTATTTCGCCGCTCTGCCAACAACGCCGCATCCATAGTGTAGGGTCCTGAGGGATGGACATCGATGAGGTTGACGACTTTCAGTGTCCTCGTGATTGTTGGCGTCGATAACGAGGTGGCCATGTCATGCATGATTGGGCCTGGCGATGTCCGGAAGACCCCATGCTTTCGTGATGGGCCTGTTTGCTGGCATTGCATGTACCTGCCGCCGGATTGTCAGCCTGGCGTTCGCCCATCTAAATGCTGGCATGTGAGTAGCACTTCAAGCCAGGAACGCTTGTTGGCTTTTGCCTTGTCGTTCTCGGCATGTCTTGCATGTCGAACCGCCATGAGAACCGAAACGAAGGGGGTCGGCCGTTGTCTCTGTGGTCACGTAGATGTGGCTCGACTGCATAGATGGAGGCAGGTCGAACCAGGTTTGTATCGGTGCCCGCCTACAATCGGTATCATGTGGTCTGTCTCATATTACAACGCTATAGCCTTGCGATCCGCCAAACATGCTATCAAGATGCTTTCCTAGACTAATGGAGGTGGCCGCTCAAGGCCATCACCACGGTACCACGTCGGTTGCTCAAACACTTGGTATCGGTACAAGATAGAATTCTAAATAGCAGCACACGACCCCGGCCGATGTCTTGTTCTGTAGCTCCGTTTTGCAGGTTCGCGCTCCAGGCTTCGGACAGTTCAGTCCGATGGATCCTTGCCGACTGAATCGACTTTCCCCATGTTCGCCTTGCAGTCCTCGAAACCCCATTCTCCATCAGGTCATGCCTCGAAGATATCATCCAAGACTGGGTGGGAGTTAAGCAGCTTGCCGCTATCAACGGCCGCGGTGAGAGGACGACGGCTTGTCGCTGCTGTGAGTATTCGAGTGAGAGTCACGAGCAGCCGCTTACTGCCGGACCCCATCGCCCGCCGCGACAGCGGGAAAGCACTCGAGAACCTACCTTGTCCGCGGGGCTCTAATTGTTGTATTGTCCTAGTTCGTGCATGAGCCGAGCGAGTCGTTGACCTGGTCGCCCGTCGGAACATCGCTGGGCCGCGCTTTCCTGCAAGAGTGCCGCAGGAGAGGCGGATGTCGTCGCCTCTCGGCCGCCGGTCGCTGCAGTTCTTGTCGCGTGGCTTGCTCTTGGACATTTTCCTTTAAGGGGGAGCCGTCTCCTATCGACGCTATTGGGGTTTCCCTGAAACGACCAAATAGCATGAGGGCAACGTACGGGTTTGCTAGTTCTCGGCGCGGCCTCAACGTCGTCTGCGGCAATTGCTCGGCCCGTTGTGACGGCATCCTTGACTGCATGTGACCGGACGAGATCGCTCGCATTTGCGGATGCCCTAACTGCAGTATCAAGCAGCACGGTATGGACGGCTGCGACAGGATCAAGGACTTCAGGCTCAGAGATCCATACCACGGATTCGTCACCGGGCGCCCGCAGGCCGCGGATCGCGACCCGCCGTCCTTGGCCCTTCCGACACAATACGGTCCTAACTAAGGACACCTCCGTTCCGCTTCACTGGTTCTCAAACTTGGGTTCAGAAGTCCGAGGTGTGCGGCCTGGCCCCGCTGTTCTCTAGTGCCAGTATCTGGTTGTGTCTTGAACATGCAAATCAGGTCAGGGAATCCGAGAAACTCAAAACGTTCTGGCGTCAAGGCTTCAATTGTTCGTCTAGAGAATTATTTGTATTGAGAAAAGAATATCTAAATGTTTGGCTGAAAATATATATATAGCCAAATAGGTATCATTATGATTGTCCTCGGCCATCCCCTTCTGTAGGCTCAAGCGAGTACAGTATGCCATGCTATATGCTCATTGAATTTCAAACATCATATCCCGAACCCTCGTTGGTCCAGGCCCCATCACTTCTTATATACCGAGAGGCGGTTGCCGTTACCGCAGTACTCGTTGCCGGATCCCGTGCAGAACATGCTGCAGTCGCTCGCCGGCGCCTCGAGTGAAGTGGCCGGCAGCGTGTTGCCGCAGTAGCATTCGCCGCCGTATTCCGTGCCGAAGTAGGTGTAGCCGTCACAGAACGCCGCACACACCGCGTTCGTCATCTTATCCGAGGCAGTGGCCTTGGCGTCCAAGGCACGTCCGCCCTGCGCGGGCTCCGTACGGCAGCCAAGGAACGTGTACGCTCCGGCGGTGGCCGGCTGAGCGGGTGCAGTCACTTGCTTGTCGCTCTGGTACAGGGTGAGCCTGTTGCCGCCACCGCAGTATTCGTACTGGTTGCCGCTGCAGGTCATGGCACAGTCGGCCAAGGGAGCCGTCGAGCTGGACTTGTCGAGGAAGTTGCCACAGTAGCATTCGCTGCTGTATTCAGTTCCAAAATACTTGTAGTCTGAGCAGTATGATGCGCAGTACTCGAGCGTCATGTTGTTGCCAGAGGTGTAGCTCTTTTGGCTCAAGGCGCGCACGCCGTTGCCTTCTGTCCAGCAGCCCACCAGGGTGAAAGGCGAGACGGTGGGCTTGTGGGCCAGGGTAGGGACGGTACTTATCGAGCTTGAAGTACTGGTGCTGGATGCCACGCTGCTGGACGAAGACACGGGGCTGCTTGATGGTCCAGCAGTAGAAGAGGTGGATTGCGGCAGCGAACTTGTAGGCGAGCTGGTGCTGACGGCTTCACTGCTGCTGGGCGAAACAATGCTACTGCTAGAAGAAGGGTGGTCTGACGAGGTCGAGACTTGCGATGAGCTGGTGATCGGGGCGGTGGAAGTAGAAGATACGGCCTCTGCCAGAGCACTGGAGGAGCTTGAGGAGCTGCTGACAGAGGAGGACGTAGCGGGAGACGCAGTGGATGAAGTCGTCGTGGGAACAGTCGATGAAGTTGTTGTGGGAACAGTCGATGTGGCCAACGTAGAGGAGGAGCTGTTGACTTTGTAAAGTTCGAGACGGTTGCCGTCGCCACAGTACTGGTACGGGTTGCCGGCGCACTTCATGTTGCACTCGCTCAGGGGGGCAGTCTTGCTGGTAGATTGTAGTTCATTGCCGCAGTAGCCTGGGTCTTGTTAGTCATAGTCTCGTCAAGGAAGCCTCGCCATCACACTTACATTCGCGACCATACTCGGTGCCGAAAAAGGTGTAGTCGGAGCAGAACGTAGCACACTTGTCGAGGGTCATGTCATCGGCAGCATTCTGAGCGCCTTGCAAAGCACGGGCACCGTCGGCCTCCGTCTGGCAGCCCACGAGCGAATACTTGCCGATGGCGTTGATGTGGGCGAGGGTTGCCGTCGGCGCAGCCGTCGAGCTGCTACTGCGAGTGGCCGTGGTCGAGTAGAGCTCGATCCGGTTGCCGGCTCCGCAATACTGTGTGGAATCGCCGGAGCACTGCATGCTGCAGTCGCTCAAGGGAGCAGCGGTGGTAGAGGCGACCAGGGAGTTGCCGCAGTAGCACTCGCGTCCATACTCGGTGCCCCAGTAGTCGAACCCGGTGCAGTTGGCCATGCAGCTATCCAGGGTCATGCCGTCGTATGCAAAGGCGGCGCCGGTGAGGGCTCGGCCGTTCGTGGCCTCGGTCCAACAAGACACAAGCTTGTACCCTCCCATGGTTTCCCGGTGTTGAAGCGTGGCGGTGGGAACCGTACTGGAGGTGCGGGAGGCCGAGGCGGTCGTCGACGTTGGGACGGAGGAAACGGTGACGCTGTTGCAAGTGCCTGATCCACCGCCCCATGCCGCGCAGGTGCCCCCGATGGGGTTGGCCTTCTTGAAAGAGTCGACCAAGGCGGACGTGCCGTCGCCGCTGATGAACTCCATGGTTGACTGGTAGCTGAGGCCGCCCGGGATGTTTGTGGTAACGGTGAAGAAAGTGTAGCTGCCTTGGCAGGTTCCCTTGACCATGTCGACAGTCATCTTGCTCAGCAGAGGCACAACGCTGGTCGTGCGCTTCGTCTTGTATGAAATCTCCACCCTGACCGGCAGGGACGCTCGGTCGTTGCGGACTGCGACGACAAAGGTAGCGTCGCCGGCGGTCTGCTGCAGGCAGCTCTGGGCCTGCTGCAGAAAGATGCCGTCCTGCAGAGGGTACCATTGACCGTTGTTGTCGAAAAGCGTGCTCGAGCCGTCCTTCTTGTTGATAGTGACTGTGAAGGACGAGATACCGGTGCTGACGGGGAAGGTCTGAGTGATGGGGAACCAGGCAAAGTTGTCTTCCAAACCTCTGGAGATGCCCAGGACTGAGAGAGTGAAGACGCAGTTGCTGGTTCCGCAGGTGGAGCTTCCGCCCCGGGTCTTGTAGTTGACGGTCAGACCCGCAATATTGTCCAACGGTATTTCGGTGGTTCGGACGCGGATGAAGCCTTTAAGCTGCATGGTGGAGGACGAGGCGAGCGAGAGCTGGAGCTCAACCGGCTTGACCGTGTAGGGCTTGACGGCATCAGTGAGGGTAACGCCGGATGGAACGGTGTTGACCATCTTCTCCAACACGTTCTTGCAGACGGATTTGAAGGCGGCATTATCGGCCATGGCACGCATTGTTGCGTTGTCCGAGTTGAAGACCTTGAAGTCGGAGTTCTGGTTCCGAGCGGTGCCCATTGTGTAGACCAGGGGATTCTTGGTGGTACCGTCGAGATACTCGGTAACAACCTTGTTATCAAAGACACCGGCTGTCGAGTCCATTGGTGCCATGCCGTTCGCGAATGTGCCGTCAGGCACGATGGTAGGGTTCTCGGCCGAATGCACACCGCCAATGGTGTGGCCGCAGGCCGTCACCTGTACCATCTCCTGCGCTGTAAAACCCATGCGCTGAAACTGCTGTGTGAAGATCTGGATGGCATTCCCGGGCTGCGGCACGCCGGTGACGCCTCTCGCGGCTGCGTCGATGCGGCCAGAACGATAAGCGATCGAGGGGCCGCCGCAAGACAGCACAGAGGCGTACACCCCGAGGGCGATCAGATCCGACATGCTGCTCTTGCGGGTCAGGTAGGGGGCAAAGAAGGTCATCGAAGATGCAAATGCAGGGCCGGTGTTCTCTCCGCCGACTGTGAGCTCATATTGAATCGACGCATCCAAGCCGCCGACCCCAGTGGCTGTGTTGGCCGGCGCCATGTCGTGGAAGGCAGTCCTCAGCCATTCGGCAGCGGTTTGACGGCCGGCACCGTTCGTTTCTTTGGTGCAGGGGAAGACGGCATCGGCGAAGTTTCGTGTTCTGGCGTTGAACATCTGGTACATGATCTCCTCCAACTCATCGATGTCCGAAGGCCATGTCGGGTCGGCTTGGACCTGGAATGCTAGGCCCAGAAGGCCAAGCAGAAGCGAAGTATTCACCTTCATGGCGTTGATACACTGAATTTCCAACCTCGAGTATCGACAATCAACAATATGGAACGATTACAACAATAAGCACAAGCGAGGGACTAGGTCACCCAGGTAAATGGATGGACCTTGGCGTCGGAACAACAACAAGGCAAATATGCCTGGAGAGAGTGTAAGAGTCGCAACAGAAGAGAGGGAGGTGGACGCGGTGAGAACGAGAGGTGAGACGGCTGCTGGCCGTTAGATATGAGAGACATGGTGCCTAACAACTCACGACTACGACAGCTCGGCCACACAAAGAAATTTGGCGGTTCCATGCGGCAGCAAATTTGCGCCTACGCGTGCGAGTAGACCGGGCAAGGCGGGATCGTAGCGGCGACCAGGCACTGACCGCGTAGAATAGCGTAAATGCGGGTGATCTAGGCATTCTAGGCCATCTGAGCTGAGATGAGGAGCCTCCATGGCCAGCAAGGGTAGCAGTCCCCGAGGGTAACTAGCGGCGGGAGGTGATGGCGGAGCCTGATTACTGGCCATCGTGGGAGTGAGTGGGTGTGGGTGGGATGTAGAGGTGAGAGTTCTTCGTATTTTTGGCAAAGGTAGTCAAGGATGCCATGACCCCTCTTTCCCCTTCTGAGTTAGTGTTAACCTTGCATTGGATCAAAGAACACACAAAGGGCAATTTGAGATGTGTGATTGGACGCGAGCATTTTGTGGCTTCTATCGGTGCCAGCCGCAATGTGGGAGTAATCCAGGGGTGCCGGGGTACAGCCCCCTGCCCCTGAGCGACGCTTACCTTGATTAACCTTACTTGGGTTGGTTCAAGATACCCTCAAAGGCCCTTATGCGGTGAGATAACTTAATGGCGTGGCCAAGCAATTAATTGCATCCCGACCAGTTGGGATGCAGACCCATGCATTCGAGGGAGGGTGTCATGTCCAATCCGGTGGTGCCCTCACAACGGGGAGGACCCTCAGTACTTGTTCAAAGGTAGAGTCAGCAGATAACGTCGGGAAGAAGAGCATGACATTTGTTTCTCGTTTGGGAGCCTGGTGTGATGCCCGCCTTGGACCTGGCCTCGTCTGTCCTGCGCGACGATGAACTATTGATGCCATAACAACGCTGGCGCATCAGCTGACGCGAATGCCTGCATCTATTTTCCAATCTTGCAGCTTGCGTAATGCATTCACAACAGCCGCCCCTGCTAATCCATCTGGCTTGAATTGGACGAACCTAGCCAAAAGAACGAAAGGGACACAGACGCCTTAGCCCAAGGTATCACGGCAAATCGGCACCAACGGCATCTCGAAGCCTGATCTGCTGACTGTATTCTGGTAACCAACGAAGCACCTACATACAGGCTTCGTTCCCACGGCCAAGCGTGGAGCCTCTTTGGCAGCCATCTTCCACCTAGGCACCTAGACAGCATATGCACCCGTGCCTTCTAACAAGGCAGTACGACCAATGGAACGACAAAGAAGCACAGCATGCCACGCAATACGGATTCACCAGTCCTGAGTTGACGGCCATCGCCTTATCGCGCTGTCAGCCTGGAAAAGGCGTCTCACCCGCTGCTACTACACACATCAGCTCTGCCAAGCTGCCATTGCAGTGTCAAAGACGACCCGATTTCTTCTCCCCACTTGGACTTGGTCTGAATTGGACAAAGCCGAAAGAATCACCTGCAGCTCTCACACAGACGGGGCTTCTGTCAGAAGAGCAATCGATCAAGGCAATGGGCAAATTGCAGATGGGGGACGGTGCCGCAATTGTCATGGCGGCCAAGCGTGGCTTTTGCTAGTGGAAACGAACTATCGTTTCCCCACCACATTAGGGGAAGGGGCAAAAGAACTGCTACAGTGGCAGATTGCCCATCAAACCATGGGAAAGCCGAACAGCCATTAGCTTGGCCCCAGCGGCCCCAGCTTCCAGGAGCGCGGTTTTCAGCTCGCCAACGGTTGTGCTGTTCGGCATCGCATAGGAGCGAGGTAAGACAAAGAGATACCATAGTACTCCCCGACCGGTCACAAGTGACATCCCACAACCCGATGGCATGGGCGACCGATGTGCGACAAGGCTGGACAAAGACAACTAAGGCCAAGCCTTACGAAACAGCCAACCGCCGTCAGGAACACAAAGAGGATTATATGACTAGTTTTCGCTGCCAATCTGTACAAGAAAGTCATCACTGGCTCCAAAGTTGAACTCTTTGTTCCGCAGTCCCACGTTGTACGCCGGTCGAAGTGCAGGCCGTTCTTGGCACGAGAACTGTCTGTTGGAACGTCGTGGCTTCGGATAGGAAACGTGTACCATCTGTTCCACGTTACGAGGCGCTCAATTTCGGATCACCAGTGGCAAAATCATTGGTAATACCTTCACTGACTTCTCTGCACGTGCAGGTCCGACATGCCAGGATCGCCGATCCCCATAGAGCCGGGCTTTAGTGGGACACCGGAGGCCGAAAGCTCGGTGCTTGTCTTGATAGATGCGGGGCCGACCCGTTGCCCCTCCCGGAACCCTCCCGGGATTGTCTCAAGTACGATCACTGGTATGCCATATCAGGCAAGCTCAGAAGGTACTGGCATGACCCGGGCGCAGCAGCCAGTTGATCAGTGCTTCAACAAACGATACCCATGACAGGCTTCCTGCAGTCAGCCGAGCGCCCACGCCGGAATTTTGCCGCACAGGCGCCCGACCAGAAGCCCTAGCTTTTGAGAGCAGGCGATGCAAGGCATCATACGTTCACAATGCGCGACTTGTCTGGGGGCTTTTAGCTTCACTATGCCCGGAATATACCATGTCCGTCATTCATACCGTTGAACCACCGACGTTCTCGGGCAGAGTAAACTGGGCGACGAGGAACGCGGATGTTGTTCATGTCCAGTGGCTCACACACCTAGCCACCACTTCCTGGCGGCGCCCAACCGCTACAACATCTCCAACGGACACTCAACTGAGCTGGGGCCAGCGAGTTACAGTATCCAGGCATCGCCACAATACAGAAGCCCCCGGTTTCTTGCTCGAGCCGCGGACTCTCGCGATGGATTCGGTCGCACCTCTTTCCCGCGAAGTCGTCGGATGGCTTAATGATGTCAACCGCTATGGCAGTTTTTGGCGCTACCGACAGACAGAGTGTTGATGAAGTAGGTAATGACATAATGTCCTGGTTTGAAAGTAGTCAAATGCAGCTTGACGTCTAGTCTCAGCGATTCGGCAACTCGTCTCCGGCCGCGTAAAGCTTGGCAAGCAGCCCAATCTACCTACAGGGACAACAACACGCACACTGTTGGTTGTCCTTTTTGACTCTGCTCACACGAAGCCTGTCTGCTCTTCGCTATTATCCGGTTCTTCACTGACACCATGACCTGCATCCCATCAAGCGAGGTCTAGACGCGAATCAATCAATTCTCCGCGGGGAAACCCTGCTTAATCCAGGGGAAACACTTGGCTGGGGCTGCGCAAGGCCCACAAAACCTGGCACAGTAAAGAGAGACATTCTAGACGAAACTTGAAGGGCCAAGAGTGCGATCGTTGCGCAGCGATTATCTCATCATTCTCATAAGAAGGACAGAGCTTGTCATTGGACGCTAGCCCACTAAGGATCTCCATCGACCAGTCGGGACCCAACTATTCAATCCAAGACATGCTACTGTAGAACGACGCGTACACTTTGCACTCCCACTCTCACGCTGGCCGGACGTGACCTGAACCTGACCAAGCGGGTCGGACTGAGTCTCAAGTTGAGAAACAGATTCCAAAGGTGCGACGGTCAATCAAAATGTGGGCATCTCGAGTAATTCAAAGTCCTGTCGAAGAGACTCGACACTGTCAAGAACAGAGTTTGACTGAAGTTTAGCAAAGGCCAAAACAGAATACCCTAGAAGAGCTGAAAACTCTGCCCTTCTTAAACCGTGTCCGTGTTGAAGCATCCCGATTTACCCGACTCTGTTAGTCATGGACACCACCCCTTCACAACGTCGACTCCAAGGCTCGCGACCCGCAGCCCGCCTGCTAACTTGCATGCCCATGGCCTGCTTCCCGTGCTTGCCGTGAGAAACCCACTCGAGCAAACCTGGACAGTGGACCAAACACAGGGAAGAAAACCAAACGTTAAAAGTGGGAAGACCCAGGGAACCAGGCCGATCCCGATCCTCAATCATCCGCCCCGCGAAGCCACACTTGCACCGTGGCCGTGCTGGATGAGTGGAGAATCCGTCCGGGTCCGGACCAATCGTGCTGGTATGTGCCCCTCCAAGAGGTCTGACATCATAGCCCGTCACCCCCGTCGAGGATGTGGAGGGGTTCCATTCAGCCACAACGCTCGTCATCAAACCCGCAAGCAGTGCCTCGTCCCAAGACCTGACGCCCATGCTCCGTCACTCCCCCCATTGACTTTGCACTGGTGAGCTGTGTGGTTGAGGGAAACTGTTCGTTGGAAATGGAACTAGCCAGGAAATGACACACGGGAGATCCCTGAACTTGGGCCGAACAGGGAAGACCTGTACCTTGCCACGATCTACGCAATGCGGGATCGGCAGATGGAGCAGACCATTTACCGGCAGACGGGGGAGGCAGCCCTGTTTCCTTCTTGCTGCTTTTTTAAAGTATTAAGCGTCTCGACCTCCCCCATTTGGTCACCTTGACCATATCTCATCCCGCTCGTTCATTCATCCCGTCGAACACCTTACCGAGGCAGGTGACAAACGACACGTTCATCTCTGCTCAGACCAGCATCAAAAAAGCTCGAGTCCACTAAACAATCTCCAACACCAAGCAACTCCTCCAACCGTAGCCATGGCCTTCGCCTTGAAGTTCTTACAGTGGTTCATCCGCGGCGTCCAGCTGGGCTGCTCGGTCCTCATCCTCGCCATCTTCTCTTACTTCCTCGCGACCCTGCACAACCACTCGCTCCCGATCGCCACGTCGATCCGCGCCGTAGAGGGCATCTCTGGCGCCGCGACCCTCTACACCCTTGCCGGTCTGCTCCTCTTGTGCTGCCTTGCTGGCCGCTCCTTCACCTCCTTCATCGCCATAGTCATCGATGTCGCCTTCATCGGCGCCTTCATCTACGTCGCCGTAGCCAACCGTAACGGGGCCGACTCTTGCTCCGGCACCGTCAGCACGCCCTTCGGTGACGGCCCCGCGGATGGCAAGCCCACCAACACCGGCAGCGACGGCTGGACGCATCTTCCCAGCCTGCGCACCGCTTGCAAGCTGCAGACTGCATGCTTCGCCGTTTCCATTGTCGCAATGTAAGTCCCCCTTCGCATCCTCACACGACGAAATATACTGACACTCCCCCCAGCATCTTCTTCATCCTCTCCATCCTCGTCGAGGTCGCCCTCGCCCGCCACCACCGCAAGGAGAAGCGCTTCGGCCCCAGCCCCAAGAACAACTACACTTCGGGGTCGGGCGGCAAGCCCGGCTTCTTCAGCCACTTCCGCCGCGGTAACCGTGTCGTCGCTGAGCCCAATGAGAACGCCCTGCCTATGCACACCAGCCCCGACCAGGTCCGCACCAGCTACGCCACCGAGACCACCGCCGTTGCCCAGGACCCGGGATACCCCAAGTACGAGGGTGCCTATGCTACCAACGGCACCACCGGCGCCAACGGCTACAACACCTATGGCCATGAGACTGGTACCACTGGTGCTACGCACCCGCCCAACAACTACCATTACAACGATGGTGTGTACGACAGGGTCTAAGCGGGCCTGTTAATCGGATCTGGAAAGATGGAAAACAGAACCAAACTTTGTAATCAAATGTACAACAACGGAACGAGACTGGTCAAAGGATGGCAATATACCCAGGGATTAAGGAGTCTTGTAATGTCGTAAAGGTAGCGACTTTTCTTAATAGTTTCAGTCATGAATCAAATGATCACAGCCGGATGATGGTACATGTCAGTATCTTGGAATTGTGAAGCTATACTAGTAGCTGTGAATACTACACAGGTTCAGTGCAATAACATGTATGGCTGAGACTGGTACATCTAACGTCATAATACCACGTCCGTTAAGCGTTGGCGGCACGTTGGCTAGGGTACGACGTGACGTCCGACGGCTGGTCCGAAGACTCCGAAACATCGTTTCAGTGGTACCTCTGCCCAACTAGACAACTCAGTAACCTAAACCAGACACTCGGCCAGGTGTCAGTAAACCTCGTCAACGCGGACTGTAGGGTATATCATGGCCATCCGGCCGCCTCGTCCCACTCACTGTTTGCGCCATCGTCGGCCCCCACGTCGGCCCAGTTCATGTCCAGCTTCTCCAGCTCCCTCGTGAAAAAGTCTTGCTCCTCCCGCAGGGCAGCTCGCAGCTCGACGGCAATCTTGTCAGGATACCTGCGCACGTTGAACCAATGCGTTAGACTGCGCAGGGCCTGCTCCAGTGGCAGCGCCGAGTCGACTTCGGCGTCGACGTCGCTCCCCGCCAGCCATTCATCGCGCAGCTCGGGCCGGCAGTGTAGGTAGACCGCCGTGATGACGCGCATGTTGCTCTGCCGCCACTTGCGGCCGCAGTACGGCACTTGGTTCTTGAACAGCTTCAGGGTATAAAGTCGGAGTTCCGGCTGGGGAATCTTGAGAGACTTGCGGAGGATGTTGGCCGACTTGTACTGCACCAAGAGGAGATTTCGGTGGGCCTTGTGTTTGCAGATCTTCTGCATGATCCGGAGGTAGTTGATTAGGGAGAAGAAGTTTCTTCTCGAGAAGTCGGTGATCGGCTCGGCCGGCAAGTCGTTAACGGGGTATCCGAGTTCATCGACCTCGGGTCGCGCCGCAACCTGCCCCTCGAGCTTGGCGTTGTCGTCGCTGTCGCGCGTGGCGGCCGTCGTCGCCCGAGGTGGTGATCGCCTTCTCTTGATAGGCGGTGGCGCTGCCTCGTCTTCACTCTCTTCCTCGGGCTCGGCCTGGACCGGCGGCTTGTCCTTGAACTTCGACCGCAAGTTGCAGAAATGGAAGAAGCTAGTTGGTCAGCTTGGTTTTCATGGAAAACTCGGGGTCGCACGCACCTGTTTTCGAGCCGGTCCGTCTTGCTGTCTACGACTTGTTGGACGTCCTGGTGCGCAAACAGCTTGAGGACTAGCGGAAGGTAATTGGAGTCGAGCAGGAGCTGTGTCATGTACTCGAATTTGAGAACGTCTGAGGCTTCGTCAGCATCCGCCTTGCAACACAAATCAGGGCTACGTACGCGAGACTCTGAGCCACTTCATAAGAAGGAGCAAGATGGCTGTTATGGCTTTGGTGGTAATCTCTCGGGACCTCGCGGCATCCACCTCTTCGGGCGACATCTCTGGGAGCTCAGAGGGACCCGACTGTGCCGAAGAAGGGTCTTGGGATTGCTGTTGCCTATTGGGCCCAGGGCCACCATTCATGCCGTTGGCTCCTCTACCGGCCATACTCGGGTGCTGTTGTGCTGCGGCGGGCTGCGACAAGACAGCCGTTACGTTCATGAGGATCGGCCTTAGAAGGACGATCACCAGCGACTGCAGGTGAGGAAGAGACTCTTTCTGTAGGGAAGTCAGCCATGTTCAGTTGAGGTTCTAGCGTACCCACGTAGAAACTTTCGACAGCAAATAGCCGACGCTTGACCTCGTCGTTGACTTTGTCTGCGGCAGGACCGCAGTCAACTTCTGGCTCTCGCATCGAAAGCTGTGCCTCCCTGCGCTCCTCGGCCCTAGTCTCAGCTTTTAGCGCAGCAATCTCTTGCTTCTCTTCCAGGCTCAATCCTTCAAGGTCGAGGTCGTCAACGTCATCGTCGCTATCCTCTGCTTCCCATCCCCTCTCAAACTTGAGAAAGCTTTCACGTTCCTCCCAAAGCTGGCGCGTAGCGCGCGTCATGCGAACTCTTTTGGAGAACAGCTCTCCAGCCTCCAGGATTGATGCGGGAATGTCGCTGCCCTCCCATCTGCGACCGACAAGCTGTTCCTGCAGCCCAGCTCCACCTTTACCACCAGCACTGTTGCTTGTGGCATCCAGAGGCGGGTACATGAAGGGGAAGTTCTGGTTAGTCTGGTAGTTCTGTTTCTTGCCGCCCTTGCCTCCAACACCAGGAGAAGGGGGTGGCGAAGGAGCAGGTGTCGCGATATGGACCGGCTGGTGCAGAATAGAAGCGCCGCTGCTTTGCGGGTTGGGTGGTCCTGGTACGATTCCCATCGCCGCACTAGTCCTGGTGGGGTGGTTTGGTAAAGGGGGCAGGAGAGTTGTATTTTCCGGCTCGAGGGGGATGAGCGTCCTCGGTGGCACGTAGGCGGGGTATTTGGAGGTGAGTTCCTGTCGGAAGACATGGTAGTCCAAGGGCGATGCGGTGATAACGTCCTTGGATTTCGCGTTGGGCGATTCGCTAGTGGCCTTTTTGGCCTCGTCTATCTCTTGCGTACCACCAAAGACCAGCAGGATGGTCTTCCAAAAGAGCAAGAAAATCTAGGAAATTAGCCCGGGCCATCCGCGGCGTCAACGGTGATCGTACCTGGCTAGATGGCATCAAATTACCGTCGTCCCAACGCAGCTTGGAGGCTGCAACGGACATGAAGTCGACTAGGCCAGGTTTCAAAGACACTAGCAAAATATTAGCCGCTTCCTTGCATGTGTTGCCAATTTATGCTTACGAAGTTCAGATCTTGTAGATTCGAGCTCTTTGGGGAAGCTCAACGCCTCCTGAATGATGACATACATGATAGTCATCAGGTTAATGAGTTCGTCCTGTGCCTCTTGGGCACCACCGGGCTGTACGAGCCGAGGATCGTCCGACCTGGTCGGGTTAGCCGCAAAAGCAATATTGTAGCCGGACAACGTACCAGAACACATCGAAGCAGTTCTGCAAAGCCTCCCAGACGGTAGAAATTCCATTCAGGGACGTAAGAAAGGCGATGCTTGATCGTATGGCCTCCAGCTGTGTCGCGCTTGCGGCCGACCTCCTGTCGCCTACGGTAGCCGGAGTAGAGGTATCGCCCCATCTGCCCAGCACCAAGTACAGGACCTTACCAATGGACGCAGAGCGTTGTGCGGGGTCCTTGACTTGGAGACCACCCAGAGCGTCTTTCGTGAACTTGGCTCTTGTCTGCTGTTCCGTCTCCTCCCAAGGCGTCTGGATATCGTACTCGTGCTGCCACTGCCACTCGAATGCCCTCTGGGCAGCATTTAGTCGCACCCACTGCCAAAACTGGTACACGAACCATTCGTCGATCTCCTCGTCATGCGAGCCCATATCATTGTAGACAAAATCGTAGGCGACAGGTTCGCCGCGGCTGAACTCGGCGACGATTCGCCTCAGCTGCAGCAACGAAAGAGAGTCGGTCGGTTGCGGTTGGTCGGAAGGCGCAGGAGGCATCGGAGCTGGGGGGTCTGGAGCCGGCGCAGGGACGGGGGTTGGCGCAGAGGAGTTTCTTTGCAAAGATGGCCGTGCCGGAGGCGGAGGGGGCGGGTTGCTGGGATCGGGACCAACGTCTGCGACAACGGCATCGGCAACATCGCCGGTCAGCGGAGGCTCCTTTTCGGCGGAGGCGCCATCATTGGCAGGCCTCGAAGGCCACAGAGAGTTCATCCTGGAAGGAAGCGAAGGTGTTTCGGATGGTCTGTCATGCTCTGGGAGGATGTCGGAGGGTCGGCGGTGGTTGGAATTGGTTGAATCGATGTGGTTATTCAAGCGACATGAGAACACGCGTCAAGAGCGTACAAAATCGCGTTGCACAAGACAAGCTCATGTTTAACCGCGGAAGGAAGTGGTAAGTAACGCGGTGAAGATGCAGCCTCCAGCGGGATGCAGTTTGCGAAGCACCTTCTGATTGGTTGTACGCCAGCTCCTTGATGGTTTGGCGGGGTGTGGCTGGATCTACGACCCTAGCTACAGGCATTTGAAAGCGCTGTCTGTGACTGCAAATGGTAAAGGTGGCTGACCCCATCTCTTATCTCTTGTCTTATCGTCAAGAACCATATCCAAGGCCACCCTTTAGCACCGAGTTTGCTGGCAGTCTCGGCCAAGGTGTCCTATCGTCGATGTGCATGGCGGGGTCTCACGGATGCAGCACATAGCCTCTAGCAAGAAACTCACTTGAGCCGACCCCAAGGCCGCGGAAGGATCGTCTCATGTTGCCTAAGGCACGGAGAGCATTGCCCGCTATCCTCTTGTGTTCTGCGGCCCGATGGGTATCGAGCCTTTTCTTAGAGAAGACAACTACACGGCCATCCGCGAAGGCTACTCGATTGAAATAAGTCCACTTAGCTACGAAAAATAAACACCACGGAAATTACAGGCTAAGTTGGTCTTCAGGAAAAAAGCATATTGGTACTCTGGCCTTGGGTGTTCTTGGAGTCCCACACCGCAATTGCATTGTGCAACTTGACGACGTCAGCGACCTGTCACGGTTCTGCGGCAACAAGCGCAAGCCACAGCAGGTGATCCACCAGCCCTCCCGCTGGTCAGCTCGGTCCACTCCGGTGAATAAGCACCCAAACGCTGCAATCATCACTAATACATGGCCCCGCTGACTGAAGAAGCTTCCATTGAACTCGGGCAGCTCTTACCTCTTTCTTCACTGGGTTTCCACCGATTCACCAAGCTACTTTCTTCGGGATCTAGAACCTCCCTCCTATCGGTTTTCTGGACCGAGGTGCTATAGGAACTTAAGTCTAACCTAGATCCTTGCTATTGCTCACACCTTTTTGGGGCTAACGGACCTCGGAGTCGCAAGCTTAACTACTTTACGGCCCAATTGCCTCACAACCACTGACGACGGGAACTCCCACGTCGCAAGGTGTTCACTCATTGGCAGTCTCTCAAATTTCAATGGCAACGGATAGTCGCTATAAAGTTCCGATTTCTATTTGACTCGACCTGGCATACGACATTTCTTGCATCACACAACCTCTTCGAACATCCTTTACACGTCTGCACTGACATCGTTCGCGAATACTAAGCGCAATCGATCTACCCCGCGCTCTCCGCGGCTTCTAGAACGTTTTACGCGTCCCCGTCACCGCAACGCCCTCCTCTTCGACTATGGGTGACAGGACCGCGAGCGACGAGAAGGAGAAGCGCGTAGGCCTTGAGAACGACGAGGACGCTCGTTCGAGTGAAAGCGACGACGACTATCAGAAGCCCGTCGAGGTACACGCCCTATGGCCCTACTGCCTCCCAATAGGACACCCTGCGATGAGCTTATACTAACATGTTCGCCAGGTCACCTTCGACCCCGGCAATCCTTACCGCCGCAAAAGCTCACTTGTGACGTCTGACACGTCTAGGCCTCTCCCGCGCCACCCGAGCAGGAGAACAGAGTGCATCGTCCACCAGTTTCTCGAAAGTCAGCGAAAGGCCCGCGACGCTGTTGCCTCGGCCAGCAACCATGGCTCCAGGTCCAACTCCGTCTCGAGCGCTTCCAAGACAAATGATCACTACCATCACGGCCATCCCGGTTACGAGAGTCCTAGCCGGCAAGCGGGCACCAAGGATGTGTCCGGCGAAACGGGCATGTACAAGACAGTCGAGCCGAAGGGGCGCGTCGCCAAGCAGAGAGCCTCGATTCTGGCAGCAGACAGCCCGGAAGGTAGCGACGTCGGCCAGGCCGACGAAAAGTCCTGGCGAACTGAAATCATCAAGTCTGCATCTCAAGTCGACCTCATGCAGTCCGACGACGAGGACGAGCTTCATAGCCGGCTACTCACCAAGAAGCAGCTGAGCGAGATGGCCTGGGGGGTTCGCGAGCTCAGCAGACGCCTTAGCAGCATGCGCATCAGGTTCCGCGTCAAGTCCATCTTCCTCTTGACCAAGATACACGATGCGGACCTGATCAGTCGGACGCGTGAGTTGACCAAGTGGCTTCTGTCGCACGAGCGAGACGTTGACTACACCGTCTACGTGGAGGAAAAGTTCAAGGATAACAAGAAGTTCAACGCGCCGGGCATGGTCGAAGAGCTCAGCAAGGAAGCCGTCGATGCCGGTCAACCGCCAAACAAGGCCAAAGGCGATGCCATTTCCAAACGTCTCCGGTACTGGGACGAAGACATGTGCCGCAACCGGCCGCACATGTTCGACTTTGTTATCACCTTGGGCGGCGACGGTACTGTGCTATATGCCAGCTGGCTATTCCAGCGCATCGTTCCACCAGTGCTGAGCTTTTCTCTCGGCAGCCTCGGTTTCCTGACAAAATTCGACTTCGAGGAGCACCGCACCATTCTCGAGAGTGCCTTCAACAAAGGCGTCACAGTAAGCCTGCGTCTGCGCTTCGAGGGAACAATCATGAGAAGCCAGCAGAGGAAGAGATTAGCGGACATCGAAGAGGGCAGCTCCAGTCAGGATGAAGACGGACCCAAGCCGGACCTTGTCGAAGAGCTTGTGGGTGAGGAGAGGGAGGACGAGCATACGCACAAACCAGACGGGACCTTTGAGATTTTGAACGAAATTGTCGTAGACCGCGGCCCCAATCCAAGTAAGTCATTGACCAATCTTCTCTGTCGCCAGAATCCTGGGCCGCTGACCCATGAACCCTAACAGCAATGTCATATACGGAAATCTTTGGTGACGACGAACACTTCACATCCGTCTTGGCAGATGGCATTTGCGTTTCAACCCCAACGGGTTCGACCGCCTACAACCTTGCGGCCGGCGGCTCCCTCTGCCACCCCGAGAACCCAGTCATGCTCGTCACCGCCATCTGCGCCCATACACTCTCCTTCCGCCCAATCATCCTACCAGACACCATCGTCCTCCGGGTAGGAGTGCCCTACGATGCAAGAACCAACTCATGGGCCAGCTTCGACGGCCGCGAGCGTATGGAGCTGTTCCCTGGAGATTACGTCACCATCAGCGCCAGCCGGTATCCATTTGCAAGTGTCCAGGCCCAGGGCCGGCGCAGCGAGGACTGGGTCAATAGCATCAGCGGCAAGCTGGGCTGGAACACGCGGCAGAAGCAAAAGGGCTATAAGGAATGGGATAAATGAATTGTCTTACAGAAATGTGTCGATGGCGAAGCAGAAAGCACCCCGGAAACCAAGAGGGTCGGCTAGTAACGTTCCGAACGACTGTCAGATGTGCCTGCCGGCATCAAGCTCTCACGTGGTCATATGCACAATATGGATGGGCGCTTGACACACTCCAAATCATGCATTATTGCGTGACCGACCCAGGAACCTGTTGCCTCCCGCACTTCTAAACGCCAAGACTCACAGACGGTTCACACCTCTCTGGAAACACTGAGGAACATTTCAAGCTTGAACACCTATCTTGGGTACTAAAAGCCGAGAACGAAGATTGACGACGTCCACGAACGCACCCAAGCTTTGTAACAAAGTATGGCCGCAAGCCTACCTCGTAAGCCTTGGACCGGAGAAGTGTCTTTGCAAAAGAAACTGTCTGTCACGGAGAGGAAAACGAAACAAGCCTTCTTGGCAACCGCCGGCCTTACCATCCGGCCTGAAGAGCTTTTCGGCGTCGCATCTAGACAGCTTCATTGCTACCCTACCGGCATCCTACTCAACCCATGCACACTTGGCGAAGGCCTACAAGGGCAGTTTAAAGCCTCAATCCTCCCACTAGAAAAGACGGACCGAGGTGGGGACTATACAGGAGCGTAACCAGCTCTCTGTCCTCATGCGAGTGAACATGGCCAACAATCATTCTCTAGCAACGGAAAGGGACAGAGACCTCGCTTGACCCTGGAAACTACCACAAGGCCGGTCCCTCACGACAAAAAAAAACCCCCCAGGAAAAAAAAACCGCCAAAACGAACCGGTAGGCTAAAACACCGGCCGTAGGCACCCTCGTCCTGGTCTCGCGGCGTCCAAGGGTAAGGTACTCTCAGCACATTTATTTCCCGCTCGGTCGCAGCCGCGTATGCCTGAGGTAGCCGGCTGCTCGTACTCCCACGTCCCGCGAAACCAGGATGGCCCCCGGACGCCTCTCCCTGCCAAGGAAACGCCAAATTTCTCCCATTGGCCTCGCCGTTGACTCTTTATTTTGGGAGGGGAAGGGGGCGAGGATACCGCTGTCAGCTGACGAGACTTGCGGCTCTGGGGGACTTGTGACGACGCTGCGACGTCCGACGGTCCGATGTTACTCGTACCGTACACAGGAATCGGGACGTCTCACAAAGACCACCGCGGCTCGGCACTGATCGTCATACGCTCATTGATGCGTCGGAAGCAGGCTTTTTTTTCCGTCTTATTTTTAATTTAGCTTTGCCATTGCAGCTGCAGCGCTATGCGCGTGCCGTGCGACAGTCATCTTTCATGCCGAGACGACCACACGCGAGCGCGAGACGGTCAGTCGAATTCTCGATTGGGACGAAACAGGCATGAATGATGGCTTCCGTTTGATTCTATTATGGATGCTAGAAGAGCAAGAAAAAAATGACTAGAGAGGCATGAGGAGGGTTGTCGAGATGCGCTGTACAAGGAAAATGTGTAGAAGCACCCTTTCTTTTTCTCGTGGTAGACGAAAGCCAGTTACATTCAAGACTTGACGCGCCCTTTGGTGGAAATGACAATAGACCCAGGCTTTTTTTTCCCATACTCTCGGTGATTTGAAGTACACGCCGCAACGCTGGGGGTTTATCTAGAACGCGAGAACACCTACACAGCCAGCCCCTTTCCCCCCTAAAAATTTGTGTTGATATCATGACGAAAATAAAAGACAAAGCCGGTACCCGAAAAACTTGTGCGCGTGAGCCGTGTGTGTGTGTGTGTGTGTGTGTGTGTGTAGAGGATGAACCCGTCACTCAGCGAGAGAAGGGGGAGGTATCTCGACGCGAGGGATTAGGGCTGAGGCCGGGAATCGTAAGTAGGATGGACCAAGGAGAAGAGCAGATGATGACATCAACTGTTTTCCATTTTGTGCCCTTTTTTTTTACTCTTTTTCGTTTCGATTCGAACAAGCTTCACAGTGTTCGATTACTGCTCATCCTCCACATCATCGGCCTGGGTCTCGACAAAGGTCATGGTGACGCCCTCGCCGCTGACATTCAGGTTGACAGTGTCAATGGCACCGGCGCTGACGCCCCGCGCGGCGAGCTCCTCGTGTGCGCGCTTGACGACGTTGTTGGAGTTGACGGGGACGACTTGGGCAACAGGGACGGAGGGGTCGCGGGCGACGAGCTTGTCGGCGGTCATCTCAACGCCTGTTTGCATGATTAGATTCGGCCGTTCGGGTGGGGGTCCAAGATGTGATTGTTACTTACCCTCAGGAACGCCGGAGCGGACGTACATGGTGGTGACCTTGGCACGGCGGCGAGGAGGCTGCTGGGCCTCGTCGGAGCGGGCCTTGACCTTCTGCTGAGCGACGATGGAGCCCTGGGTGGAGGCGGCGGCGGTGCCTCCGGTGGCCTTGCCGGTGCCGGCGGCGGCCGGGCTGTTTTCGATGATCATACCAACACCGGAGCCTTTCTCGCCAGTGCCGAGCTGGACCTTGGGACCCTTGGTAAGGGCGGCCTCGGCGTACTTCAGGGCGCGGTCGAAACCGGCCAGGTCTCTCTTCTCGCCGGCAGCGTGGGACTTGCTAAGCTGTACGCGAGGAGCGATCTCCTTGCCCATACCCTGGAGAGCGGCAATGGCCTGTGCCTATATGGAAGAAACGTCACGTTAGCTGATATTGGTCCGATGAAGTGCAGGTGTCCGTGTGTTATCCGCTCACACGGACATGAACCGCCGAGAGATCTCTATGTGACTAACCTCGTTGATCTGGTTGTCCGAAGAGGCAACAGAAACGGGGGTAGCACCGCCCTGAGCCTGAGCGACGGATTGCTCAGCTTGCTGAGCCTGCTGGGTCTGTTGCTGTTGCTGCTGCTGTTGTTGCTGCTGTGCGGCCGGAGCGGCGGCGGCAGCCGTGCCCGGGGTTGCTGCTGCACCTGCAGCAGCATTGACTGCCGCGCCCTCCAGTACGTTCATCAACTGGGAGACGTCGCTTTTCCCGCCGAATGAAATTTCACCATCACCCACCACCAAGGCAGGAGAGTAGGCGCCAAGGTTGATGTTCAAGGGCAGGGCATTGAGGTGAGCGGCCAGGCCGGCAATGGCGAAGATGTAGCGGTTAACCATATTGTCGATCGGTTCGGGTAGTCGGTATCTCTTGTGTGAGTCGGCTAGAGCGGCTTTGGGGAAGGAGTGGTGAGGTGGTCCACAGGGTGTTGATACTAAATAATAGGCGTACGGTTGTATAATAAGGACACGACCAGCGGAAGAAGTGAAGGCTTTGAGTATTTTTTAGTGGGTAAGGAAAGAAGAAATCCGAGAAGAGACAGTAAGACCAGTCGAGCACAGCTAAGGAAGAAGTAGAAAGGAACCAGTGAGAAAAAGCACGAGAACTAGCTTTCATATATCTTCCCCACGAGCCAAGATGGACGAGGCGAGACTGTAGACCGGCCACATGCCTGAGACGCGGTTGCCAAAGTGCCAAGAGACAGAGTCCCATCGAAAGCCTCATGTTAGTCGTGGACCCTCAGACATTAGCAGACGGGCCTACTGTCCGGGGTAGGCTTTCGATCGAATCGGTACGGAGGCACAGGGGTCGTCGTCTCGTCGGCCAGGTGGGATTGCCCAGCTGGAAAGCTCCGAATAGCGCCATGGGATGGAGGACTGCTCGACCTAGCTCCCCGCCAGCGGAACTGGAGAAGTCGAGAGTGCGGCCCAAGCAGCGACCGACGCAATCGAGGCATGAAACGCAGGTGACACCAGAGGCAGGCGGCGGGCCAATTGGGCATGTCATGTTGGGATATCCATCTGGAGGCGGATCGCGGGAGAGGGTGCGATGTGAGGGCGATTCGAGACCATGCCTGAGGGAGAGACCTGACTAGGCGGTCTTGGCATCGTCGCCGTGCCTCTATGCGATGGCCGAGAGATGTCAGGTAGGATGCCAATTTTGGTCCAGAGATCCACGCTCTGATGTTGCCGGGGCGGGGGTAACCCCATCCTTGAACGCGCAGCGAGGGTCGACTCGACTCTCTCTGGCATTTGGTCCAGGGACGCAGCATTCGGAGGGTGGGTCAGTCGCTCTTGAGACTATGCCAAGAACTCCTGCGATGGCGACTGGGACGTGCACGACAACGATGTTACCTTGTTGATTATCATCCTCCGTTGGCCGGATGAGACGAGAGTGGCGGATGTACAGACAACGAGGTACGTTTGTAGCGGAGATTGAGAAGACAGGAAATTTGGCTCATAACCCAAAAGCATCATCGTAGTGCCAAGAGGACGGGTTATCCTCTTGGCATTTGGCGGGTCGCCGTGCGGCCGGTGTCGTCTTCTGTTGGGTAGGCGAGCGTTGCACGCAGTAGGTAGTAATCTCCACCCCTCATCAACAGAGCGCGATGGCCAAGAAGCCCAAGAGATCCTCCCGGTATTGGCGCTGTCAAACGCCGCGGCGAATAGAGTCCCAAGGCCGCCAAGGTCAATCACCCAGCAGCTCGGGCGTATAACCTCTTGGACCGCGGAACAGCGCAGAAAGACACTTGGGGGATGCCAAACAACAAGGGAACTGACACGGGTTTGTTTTCCTCTGCCGAGTCGTGCCCGTGCCGGACGCTAGGATGGCGTCCCTCTCGAATGTTTCCGTGATACTGGGATGCGGTCGATGGAACCCCGTCTAGTGGTCAACGGAAGGGTAAACACATGACAGTCGAGCCCCGATGGTTTGTCCATTGTCAAGTGTCAGGAGGGGCCCCAAGAACCCCAGGGGATGGTACAAAGCGAAAGGGGTCCAGTTGTGTGACACGGCTTTGGGCCAACTGGGTCGAGAACTGGGATGCAATGCAGAGAGGACGGATGAGTTGGATCAAGCATGGCGAGTCTGAGGTCGAGTGCCGGTGCAGGTGCAGGCACAGGTTCTGGTGTGCTGCATGTGTTTGGTGCGACACCCTCCCGCACCTCCGCCCGTGTTTGAGACCTCGGAGCTGCGTGATAGTCGCCGTTGTGCGGAGAGCCTTGTCCATCAACGCTGCTTGTCTCCTCTCTTGTTTGCTCGGGCTCCGTAGTGTAGCCAATTTTAGCATCGCATGCCGTCGACTTCAGACCAGCCCCTTATTTCCTTAGCGTCGAACAGCGGAAGAGTCTGTTTAGCGGTAACTCTATGGGATCTTTCCCCATGATGCACCACGTTGATGCACACCATGTTGGTGACTCCTCAATGCAGCCCGCCAGACATGATCCGTTCGAGGCAAACTCGCACGCGCCCGGCCAACCTCGGCTTCGATAAGAACAGCAGTGGTTCGTACCAGGGCCGGGCCTGGAGGCTGTCAAAGTCAACGGGCGGCGATCAGGTTGGTGTTGTCGCTTGTAGGTGCCAGGTTCAGGAATGGCTTCTGATCAATGCCTGGTTAGAGAGAGAGAGAGAGTGGAGGGGCGTTTCCCTTCTTTCTTTCTCTTTCGCAGAAGAGTTCTGTGCAGTAGAGACAGCGTACTACTGTGAGGTAGGTAGGTACACAGTAGGTAGTATTAGGTAGTATCTGAGGTGCAAGCAGCGACTTTGCTACGCAGGGCCCTGCTGCCAAACACAGTCCAATGCTAGCCAGCTCTTGCCTGCTCCCCTCCCTCTTCCCGACCTCCCTCAACCTTTTCTGTACCGTACCTACCTTAGTTTGACTTGCATCACTCCATCCTAGCTCATGTACCTGACCCGGCTGCACATTAGCGGGAAGCACCGCCCAATGTGGCGGCCGTCCTTTCTTGGTCCGATGCAAATTGAACTCGACTTGGCATTAGGTTAGCATGCCGAGAGGCAATGCCGCTGTCGCCATCTTAGTGCCCTGTCTGTGGTGCAAGCGTCACTCACGTTCCCCTCGCCATGTGGTCCAACGGCGGATGGATAGGAAGGGGAGTCGTCCGGAGTAGATGGCGTGCGGCATGGTAGGTCTTGGAAATCTTATCGTCTTGGAAGCCGCTTGTCGCCCAAGTCAAGCTTTTCCGCGTTATCGCACCTCCAGCGGCCCCATTTTCCTCTGTTACGACTTTGGTTTCTGGGGAAGCTGCTTCTCTCCATCATTGGATCCGCGGGCCGATGTGTACAACAAGATTTTTCTACATTCTTTTTTAGACACCGATACCATCGTCCTTCGGCGCTCTTGGCTGCATCATGGTGTGGTCGTCTCGCCCGCTGTCTGTGCGGACGTACTGAAGACCCGCGCTCTGGGGGCCAAAATAATCGCACCTCTTACGAGTCCCGTTGGATTGTTTGCGTTTCGAGCATCGGGGCCTAGTCCACATTAACCTGCTTGGCTATTCCATCTTGGCTTCGCCGCGGTCGGTCACTGTCGAAACCCACCCCGGACGAGTCCAAGCACGCGCAACCTCCAAACTGCAACGTCGGCTGTCGACAAATGTTGCCCTTTTGCGGGTGCCGGCAAAGAGGGAAAGACTGAACGGGTTGTCACCCCACCGACAGAGCAAACTCGTCTTTTTTGCCTTGAACCCCTGAGACTAGGCCCGATGGCGTCGCTGAGGTTTGCGCTCCATTTCTTTGATCGATATTCATCGCCTCCCTCCCCCGACTGTGCAAGGCCTTATCGGTGCCAAGAAATCACTTGCTCCTTCAGACGGACAACCCATTGTTGCCTCAAGCTTCTGCCATCCAAGCCCCTTGGATGCATTCCTGGGTAATATCAGGACGGCCAAGCCGGCCAGACGCCATCGCAGTGCAACCGCGGCGGCCGTGACAGCACCAGCGAGCAGCACGGTGATCGGTTGCCAACGGCCAGCAGCACAACTCCACGCCGCGCGCTCGCTCCACTCGTCGCATCTTCTCCAAGTCCGAAAATAGCTCTTGACGCAGGTGACCTGAGACATTCACGAACTTCGGCTGCCGGCTGGTTTGACTCTTGGACGAACTGGTCCGTATAGGCTCTCCGTTTATGCGTTCCGTACGGGCCAGCTTCTCGGGATCCGTTGCGAACATTGGGGCGACTTCTAAAATAGGGTCCTCTCTTGAGTGGCTTCGAAGGGACAACCAGGCGTCGCTACCCTGGGGACTGTCTTGCATCACAAGGTTCAGCCCAGGGTTGTTACGTTTGCTTTTTTTTTTCTTCTTCTCTTTTTTCCCCTTCTTTTCTTGCGCATCGCCCAACCCCCCTTCTCTTTGTTTGCTGGCTAGCCTGAAAGGGTGGTGAAGTCGAGCGGTGCCGTGGGCTCCATCCCAAAACATAGCCAAAACAATGAAACATTTGCTGGATACCCGTCTAGCATTTGCCTGTCGCCTATCGTACATGCCAAGATCAACCCTCAGACGCGCCAGACGGTCTAGCCGGTCTGAAAGAAGCGGAAATAAGAGGAGGTCACCGTGTTATGTCCTGGGTCCCTGGACCGACTGGTCAATGACATACCCTGACTCGTCTCCGTGTTTCCACTATCGAAGCTGTCACCGCTAACGCTGCCGCAACGGCCCTATATCGTGGACAAGATATAACCATAACTGGTGAAGACTCTGCTACGGGGGTCTTGGCGCTGCAGGTTACGCCTCAAGCACACGTGCCTGTCCCTTCTCCGACTTATCTCACTCATCATGCATACACCGAGACTGCCTCTCGGTGGGATCCAGCAAAGTGTCTCTTACGCGCTTTCTGCGTCTCAGTCACTCGACGAGACACGCTAGATTCATCGGATTGCCTCGCCAGGTGGCCGAATGGGGAGGATATGCCGTCGGTCTGAGCTTCTGACTGGCCAGCGCCAAGCCCTGTGCCGCGCTGGTGCAGCAGCAGCCGCGTCTCGCTGATACTTTCCCCAAGGGGATGGAGGTGCTGATTACAGGCACCCAGTCTGAGCGACCTTACGTCAACCTAAACACCAACAAAGTCGTCGACACGTCTTCCATCATCACTCTATCTAGCCATAGCACTACCGGAATCAGGGGCCGATCCTTGGCTCTTGCCAGTACTTTGTTGCCACCATCGTGCCCGCAATCATGCCGGCGAAAAGCTTCGCTGAGTCAAACACGCCTTATCGGTCCGCTCACTCGCAGCGGAGAGAATGGGGCAGGCCTTTGCTCCTCGCGGTCGTTCTCTTCGGCCTCTGGGCATGGAGACTCAGTGACTGGTCCCACCGCCGCAATGCAATCCTCCATCCAGCTCGGGGCCCATTCCCGGTCTTCACCGACTGGGACGACATCCCGGCCAGCGAGGAGCTGCGCTGGGTGAGATGCGCCCTGCCCGGCATGATTTCAGCCGGCCGCGGCTACATGTGCGCCCGCTTGACCGTACCGATGGATTACCAACGGCCTCTGAATCAGTCATCCAATCACCCCAAGGTCCACATCGCCATGGTGCTTCTGCCCGCCCTTGGCCACGGCCTGGAGACGGGCCGCTTCTCCGAGTCCCCGCTTCTCCTCAACCCGGGCGGCCCCGGCGGGTCCGGAACCACTTTCATGCTTCCACCTTACGGCCCCACCATCCAGCTCGCCGCCGGAGGTACACTCGACGTCATCGGCTTCGATCCCCGGGGCATCGGAGCCACGACACCCCGTGCCGACTGCTTCGTCGATACCAAACCGGGCGACGAGTCCTCAACCGAGGCCAAGAACCTTGGCTTCCTGCACCGGTTGACTTGGCTGGCGATGGGGCACGACATCGGGATGCTCAACACCACCGCCGCCGCCGAGGACCAGCTCGTTCATAGGGCCAAGGCGATGTCCAAGTTGTGTTCCCAAAAGGACGAGGAAGCAGGTGGGTTCAGATACATGGCGACGCCGAATGTGGCAGCCGACATGAAGACCATTATCGAAGCCCACGACGCGTGGCTCGAGGATAACGGATTCGACACCGTTCCGCTCAGCGCGGGCACTCTCTCAACGAGCGAAGCGGCTCCACCTTCTACCAAGGGCAAGCTTGTGTACTGGGGCTTCAGTTACGGCACATTTCTTGGCCAGACCTTTGCGGCCATGTATCGTATGCGGCCCTTTCCTTCCGTGTTGACTGGTACTTCTCCGACAAAGACAGCTAACATAACTCGTACTCTACAGCTGACCTGGTGGGGCGACTGATTCTCGACGGTGTTGTAGACTCTAACACGTACAATGCGCCTGTAAGCCCCCTTCAGCACTTCCGCTCACGACGCGGCATGCTAACAGCATGATAGACATGGATCTCGGGCATCCAAGACGCAGACGCAATCCTTGACAAGTTCTTCTACTACTGTCATCTCGCCAACAACCGCTGTGCCCTTTTCCGTGAAGGCGACGAAGGCCCAGGCCCCGTCAGGGAACGGTACGAACAGGTCATGGCCAAGCTGCGGGACGAGCCAATCACCGCCGTCTCCAGTTTGGGACACATGCCCGTCGTGCTGATGGAGGCCGATATCAAGAAGGTGCTCTTTACGTCGCTGTACTCTCCCATCAAGGTCTTCCCTCTTCTGGCCAACTTGCTGAACCGGTTGTTCGTCGGAGATGACCTCTCCGACTGGTTGCTTGTGCCGGATTTCGGCTTCATTCGCGATCCAAACTTCAAGCTGCCCAACTACCCCGAGGAGAGCACGAATGCCATCACCTGCAGTGACAATCGGTACCGTGTAAGTAGCGACTACGACGTCGCCGAAGAGCAACGCTGACGAATGACCTACGTGGCAGCGTAACGAGACTTGGGGGGATACACTGAACAAGGTGTCAAAGTTTAGCACTTCATTCGCCGACGTTGTAAGTCCCATTTCATCCCATGAAGAAACTGGAAGCTGATTTGCGGCCCAGTTCACGACCATCATGATAAAGTGCGAAGACTGGGATATAGAAGCAAAGTTCCCCAGCCCCGACTGGGACGCAAACCTTCAGAGCCCAGACCCGGTCAACACCTCCTTCCCGATCCTCTTCGCAGGCAACACCCACGACCCCGTCACGCCTCTCGCATCGGCCGTCGAGATGTCACGGAAGTTTGTCAGCGCCGGCGTCTTCGAGCTCGAGACCGAGGGCCACTGCACCCTTGCCGCGACCTCGCTTTGTGCCATCACGAAGATCCGGGACTACTTGCAAAAGGGCATCGTCCCACCGCCGCCAACCGTCGCCGCCGACGGGTCTCTTTCGGGGTGGGATAAGTGTGAGGCAAACGAGAGGCCTTGGAAGCCCTTCTTGGGGGGATCCGGCACAATGGAGGACGGCATGCGGGCGTCGGAGGACTTGCTTGTCTTGCAGGGATTGAGAGACGTGCATGACAAGGTCATCGGCAGTTTGACACCGCCCTTGAAGCTACGTCTTGAATGATGGCCTGACTACCTACCGCGGCCCGCATAGATGGCATTTCTGAATGCGGTTTGCTCAATATGGTGATCTCGCCGGCAACGGGCGAGCTGGTTCCATATTCCCTGCGGAAAACATGTGGTGGGCTTCTGAGAGAGAGAGAGGTTCCCATCGACAAACATTGTACTATAGAGATCGCTGCAATCTCCTGCGATCGAGGATGTGGCCCGCCAAGGTAGCCCAATCTCGATGCTTGGAAAAACCTAATCTGTAAAAATGATGGAACCGGCGCTCCACGGGGGCTTTTTTCCCACCGTCCACGACAAAAGCCCGCCATGGAGAGTAGCTGTACTTAGTGCTGACACGTGTCTTTCAAACCCGAAGGCTTTCACAAAGACATGCTCTGGATCGAGAACCATCGACCCAACAAGTCCGACATGATCGAACACAATGCGAGATGAGGAAATAGAAAGCTGACGCCAATCATGGCTTGAGACCCCAGCAGGGGCAGGATTCCCAGGGTGGCTCGCTCTGATGCCGGAATTCCATCCAGGCCCTGTGCGGGCGCACTGCCCGATGGACCGCCTACGAACGTGCAAGACAGCTTCACGCCGCTGCGTCTGTCGGTTCGGTTTGGTGCTTGCATAACACAGTAGCCCCCAAACGCTGGGTCGCGAGATATCGAAGCAAAACCGTGGTTTCTTGGACAACTGGGATTCCGCGAGCGGTGAGCTGCAAAAACACGTGCGATACGATCACCGATGCCACCGGCCCGGAACGCAAGTCATTCCCGGCTCTCGATGTCTGGGGCGTCTGTCCTGGTCCGATATCTACTCCCTTGGGCTCCACGATTAATCCGTGGTAAAGGCTGGCGTGGCTTGGGCAAGAGGATGACCAAATGGACACCGCTCAGTCGGATCCTTACAAGCGCCGAGTCTCCTTCAACTATCCCACCTCAAGCCGGACTCGGGCATATGCTTCGTGCTGCCAGGTACATGTCAAGTGCCGGCAAGACTACGATGCCGGGTAATCGTCACCACCAGACCACTGCCAATGGCAACCTACGACAGCCACGGGCGCGTTTCTAACCACATAATGCCCCTCGTCCCAAAGCATTCTCGTGCTTCTCTAGCTTAGGCACAAACGAACAAGTTACCCCTCAATCCAAGGGATCGACGAGCGCCGAGCGGTGTGCCCCTCGACCGCCGCCCAGGCTTATCCGATACCAGATGGCCTTTCCCCCGCCCCCGACGCCGAACGGACGTGCGGTCTTACCCGCCGATGCGGTCGATGACCAACTGTGGCATCGATCATCAGGGGCTACGAGAATCGCTGCACGGGGAAAGCTGGCAGGCCGGGGGCCACGCCAGGCGTGCCTTAGCGTCCACGATCTACGCGTCGTTCCGTAGCTCGGTGTTGCCAGCACGGTGGATCGAGCACATTCCCCAAATGCACAAAGCCCGCGTGCCCACGAGAGGGGTCAGAGGGGTAGCAGGCCAGGGGCGCCGACGAGATGCATAGGCCAGAGAGGCATGCAGCGCGGGCGGTCTTGAGAGACAGTTCGTACGACGTGCCCTAGCTTGGGCAACGGACGGCGGCTTGGTGTATCGTGTCCATGCTAGAGCTGGCAGACGATGCGAGCTAGACACTTGGTCGAGGCCAGAAGGTAAGCTAGGACTGTCAACAAACGTTAGCAATAAGCAAGCGAGCTCCAAGCCGCCAGCTCAACAAAAGCTTGACGACATAGCTCCAGGGCGGCGGGGGGGCCACATGAGACTCCGAGGTTCAGTTCCTGGACGACGCTAGGCCCCGCTGATTGACACAACACGGTCTTACCTTATTGAGTGGAATGCGGATATGCGAAAGAACCGCGGATGTCTTGGAGTGAGCAATGCGTAATCGAGGGGCAGAAGAGGGGTAGAGTCGGGTTCCTCAGGGTCCGCAGTGGCTTAGTTGCTTGAAATGGGAGATGTCCGACAATGGGACAACTGGCGTGCTTTCAATATGTCGTTGTGGTGACGTATTTTGCGTGGGATATTTTTGGTTGCGGGGGGTTAAGACGGTGGAAGAACGGTACGAGCAAACCGGGAGGAGGCAAACGTCGCGAGAGGGCACGAGATCAGGAGCTGATGTCGGCGAAGATCTGAACAAGTGGGTAAAGGAATGTGGCGGATGGGACGGCGGACCCAGCGAGATTCCGCATGCTATGATGCATGTAATTCAGAAACCGAACGTGATGGGCGGGCGAGACAATAGGTACCGCCAAACTCGCTTGTGGCGAGGCAGACAGGAAAGTACTTGCTCTGTTGGGAAAGGCATCGGTCGTTTCCTCGCATCGTATTCGTCCGCCGAAGGACAAAGCTGGGCTTCTGGAGCATCACGCGAGACAGCAGCGGGGGATCCACGGTTCCCCAGGCATTCAGCCGCTTTGAAGCCGGAGCAGAACGTCCGAGCCGAGAAGCTGACTGTGTATGGAGAATGTCGTGTTGTGAATGATGCCAGCCAAGGGACGAGATCTCGATGACACACAGTCGTCCGCATGCCCAAGGGCGAATCGGGAAACAATCATCTGTTTCGTTGCGGCAATTTGCCGGGTTGCGCAAGTGTCGAATCGAAACCCGCCTCTTGCCGCATCCAGAGAGGTGGACGCGGACGCAGCGGGCAGGCAGCTGAGGTGGTGATTCTCTCGTCAAACACTCTGGGCGGTCCAGAACAATCCTTCCCTAGACCCAAAGCACGACAGCTACCTACCAATGCCGTCATCGTGCATGAAGTTTGGCGACGACAAAGCGAATCAGCAACGCCGCGGCTGTGGCAGTCCAGTTCCTTAGGTAGGCTTTCTGGTCCGTGCTCGTCCTGCGAGGTGAGCTCGTGTGGTTGATGCTTGCTTGCCTGGCTAGCCCCTTGCTCTCTCGAATCTGCATGCTCTGCTTGGCTCTTTTCGTCTCAGTGCGTGATCCACTGTGGCTGCAAGCTTCCAGGAGAGCTCCTTGGCTCTAACACGTAGAGGTCTTGGGCGAGCAGTGTGGAGGTACTTCCAATAATGGGGGCTGATGCCCCCCCAGAAGGGTGGGGAATCAGTGATATGATCGAGATTTGCAAAAATGCCATCCCGCTGACAGCTATGTGTGTTGGCTGGTTGGCTGACCACCACGGTGCAATCGACAGCCTGACGTATTTTGCCAGCCAACATTACGCGACTGACGCGAAAATATTCTGCTCTTTGCATGTGGTGTGTCTTTGCTGCAAACGCGGGTGGACCAACTGCAGCTCTACAACTGGACAGGTGGGGTTTTCGCTGGAACCAGAGATGAATACGTACCTACTCCAGACAAGCCTCAGTCCACGCGGGGACACTATGACGTTGGCGCATGTTTGTTCCTGCCTCTTGTGTCTTGACGTCATTCCTCAAAGGGGAGCTTCCCCAAGCTCCTGCAAAAGCTAGAGCTCCATTTTGTGGCTGGTGAGACTACATCCGAACCAAACGAAGCTCTGCACGGTGACCCCCTTTTGGTCGATTTTGATAGAGATCCCCCGTAGGCTCCTGGGCGATATCCATGCAATCCGTCTCCAGTCTTTTCTAACTGGAGTAACTGCGAAGAAGGACCACGCAGGACCGTAGTCTATGACGCCATTCCTCAAGTTCACATGATAGACCCTGAGCGTCCTTGCCTGATGGGGTGAAACTACGCTACAGCCACGAGTGGACAAGCCTGGTGGAGGGGCAGTACATGCGCCGGGAGACATACGCACAAGACGCACGAGCATTGATTGCCTTTGGGATAGGACCAAACGAGGGGGAGGGGCAGATGTTGGAGGGGCTGCCTGGAGGTACCTTTACCTATTGAGCAGGGTGGCAAGCTACCTTCGTCACACTTCACTCGCTTCCGGTCTGGATGTGAATGATCTCAGTCGAGGCCAGCGGGGCAACTTCCGCAAAGGCAGGGAGGAAGGCACCACGACGCAAGAGGCAACCACTGCCTGCCTTTCCTCACGGGGCGGCTTCAACGTGCTCTCAACTTCTTATATAAACCTCCTTTTCCCACCACCCCTCCCGACAATTTCTTTTCTCCTCATCACACACTCAAGCAAACAATCTCAATCAATCCTCACTTCAAACAACCAACTACCAAAACAACCAACCAACCCAATCATCAAAATGGATACCATCAAGAACGCCGCCAACTACGTCTCCGAGTCTGTCCAGCAGGCCGGTTCCACCGCCTCCAAGGAGACCAACAAGCAGGTCGCCAAGGACGACAACGTCTCCGTCGGCAACCGGTAAGCTTCAGCGATATACGCTCTCATCAACAATCACTAACACATCTTCTAGTGCCTCCGCTGCCAAGGACGCCGTTGGCGACAAGCTCAACGAGTCCAAGCACGACTTCAAGGCTGAGGGCCACAAGGAGGCTGCCAAGCACTAAATCACTCCCACGATACCCCAACAACCGGGAATGATCAAAGGATAGGCGTTTGGAATGGATCGGGATAAGCAATGAGGCAACGACACTTGGGAACGATTATGCATCTCACACCTAGAATAGTCATAATGCCACTACATTGCTAAATTATACCATTTGTCTCCTTTGAACTGTGTTATTACAACAAGACTTCCGATTCAATATCCTAACGAATTTTAGAACCAGAAAACAATATTTAATTAAGCATTCAGCTGCAACTCTTACATTTGACGCCAAATCAAGCACGATGTGAATCTGATATCATCGTGATGTAGCAGATTACTGCAATGATCCTTGTCGAAATTCGTATGCCCCACTATTCATACTTCAACTTTTTATCCACACCGGGACTGCTATTCCGGCGCACGGATCACCAACTCCAACGTCGCAAGGTCCCGCCCTTCCCGTCCGTCAGGTATTGGGCGAAGCAATTGAGCCGCAACTTCACATCAGCATTACTGATCTCGAGTCACTATCCTCGTCAATTGGAGCCTTCTGCCACTATGTCGACCGCATCTTCAACCCTCCCACCCGACCTATTTGACCAAACGACTCTTGTGTCTCTCGGAGCCACGGTCGTCCTGCTCTCCATCGCCATTGCCGTCTCCCGCCGCGTGCTCCACCCGACGACCTCGACGAGCTATCGTATCCTCTTCATCTGGCACGCTTTCGATGCCCTGATTCACTTCTTCCTCGAGGGAAGCTTCCTCTACCACTGCTTCTTTTCCTACATCCCACTCGCCGAGGTGTCCGATGCCGACCTCGGTGGGTTCCACCCAACGCCCGCCAACTTCCTGGGTCACTCGGACCGCATCTACGGCGCCCAGGCGGGTGGAGACAATCCATTTGCACAGCTCTGGATGGTGTATGCAAGAGCTGACAAGAGATGGGCCGGTGCGGACTTGGTAGGTTGTTCTGGAAGACCAGAATTAGACTGAGACTAATATAAAAGTATAGGGCGTGATCTCTTTGGAGCTTTTGACCGTGTTTGGCGCCGGACCTCTGGCGGTTTGGATCTGCTACTGCATCGCCAAGCGTGACCCCAAGGCCAACATCTGGATGATCATTATCGCGACGGCGGAGCTCTACGGAGGTGAGTCGACGAGCGTGTTTCTTAACCCTTGACCTCCAACCAGCATGACTGACGTTTGGCTAGGCTTCATGACATTCTGCCCCGAATGGTTGACTGGTAACATCTATCTGGACACCAGCAACTTCATGTACCTGTGGGTGTACCTGGTCTTCTTCAACATGCTGTGGGTGTTTATCCCCTTGTACGCCATTTACGTCGCCTATGGAGAGATTTCGGCCGCTTTCAAGGCACAAGGCGCGAAGAAGAACCTTTGAGCAGGTGGCTACAGAGATCTAAACTAATGGGACTTGGGAGGTTGTCTGTGTATAAAACTCGATTGGGCATTTTGAACGCTACCATTTGGGCACCCTGCGATGAGCACATTCAAGCTTTTGCTGTCTTGTGGCAATGTGATGCGTCATTATTCGGCTCGGCCAATATCAATTAATTACAGATATCCGTAGGACGCCATACTGGATCAAGTGCCAGCCTGTGGTGCCGATTGCCAAGATGGTAAAATACTGAAGAATGAATAGAAGACCGGGGTATGGACGTATTGACGTGGTGACACGGCAGGCGGGCAAATCCGCAACCGAGATTCCAACTGCAGGACTTGACGCCTACTCTTCTGACATCCACCACATCCTGCCGTCTCTTTCCTCGTACGCTCTTGGGTCAGATGAAATCACATTACGCTGCGTAAGCCGCTCACGGGCAGTGTAGCCAGGTACCAGTCAGTCTACCCCCACAACTGGTGCTGGGTAGCCAAATCGACAAGCCAAACAAGGACCAATTACAAGTAAATCGGGGCCTCGTGTAGCCATTTGTTTGGGCACATCTAGCCGCGAAAATAATGCTGAAGTGTTCTTGTACCTCACTCTTGGAATTGCCATGAACAAGCACTGCTCCGAGAATCGAGTGATGATAGATGTCGTTTATATTGTCCCTAGAGAGCCCTTTCAGGTCGGGTGTCTAGTAAGACAATATGTTCTTCATGCATCATCTGCCAGTTTATCTATGCCTTTTAGATTCCGGTGCAGTCTGTCATACTACTCTGTTAAATCGGCAAAATCGGCACGACCTCTTTTTGTCAGTAGCTCGCATATCTGTTCTCTCGTTCAGAGTTGACTACTTAATCGCATGTATTGCCCACACTACACCCTGAAAAGCGTTTGATGAGATCATAATCTGCTATCTTGGGATCAATCAAAAGGCTGCATCAGCCACTTGCAATCTCGAGACGGATTCCGAACGAATAATAACAACATCGTCCGAAACAAGAACGACGGGTAGCTGTGGCAAAATTTTCGGTCTCCATTTGTGAAAAGATCTGATCAGTGATGGATTACATGGTAGCCTTGTACTGTTCTGTATTGACTGTCACAACGACATGTTCAGATCTTTTATGACGGCGACGCAACGTACACTTCATACGTGTTGTTTTACGTCTTGTTTTGGTCCTAACCCTGTAACCCAGTAATGAGTACGAATACACACCACGTATAGATGTTTGGCTTTGTTGTGAGCGGTTCGCCCCCAGACTCAAGAGCATCGCTAGCCCGAAAGAGTATCGTGGGAAAGGCGTTACAGACGTCTAGGATTTCTGGCATGTTCTTCATGTCAGCTAGAACATTGAGAGGTGACTGCTTCGCTACCCTGAAATGATATCCAGAATATGGCAGTTTCTCATGAGGTACCTCAAGGCTTACGTTTCAGTATCTGTCTTGATTCCTCTTCAGACCTACCATTGTGAGTTCATTTTCAGAATTCGATAGCCGCGAACCCGCCCCCTCGTTCTGAGAGCTCAACACATACATTTGCGGCGCAAGAGCGGCACTGGCCGGTGCGAAGAAATGTGCCCGCAGAGCAGAGGATCCAGGCACAATCATCGATGTCGAAATAGGTGCCAGATGTACACATAATGAACAGTACCGATGGACGAGCAAGGCATGGCGACCTTAATAGCGTAGTAAACATTAAAATTTCAGCGCCACGCTTGTCACTCCCAACTCCAACTAATTATACTTCCCGCCTAGTATTGAGACATCTAAACATTAAGATCAATTCTTTTAGATCATTCTCATTACGCCTATCTTGATCCGCTGGCAACACGTTCGCAGGGAACGAACGCGGGCAGCTCCAGGCTCATGATGATAGCTTGCTTTCGCCGGCACATCGTCGGTTCAGTCATCACTCTGGTGAGCAAAGTCGAGATCCAATTCGACGCAGGGTCGGATCCGACTGGCCACAAAGACAGGCATGATTGCATCGAAAGCCCTGACCTTGGTGGGACCACTCCAAACTCCGGCAGACATCTCCGATCTGACTGATGACCAACTGTCGAAACTGAAGCAATTGCGAAGGCATAGCTACGGCAATTGTGCTTTTCATGCTCCAGGCTCCACGCACAGACAATTGATTGGACTCGCCCTAGCATCGGAAGCAGATACTACCTCAGTCAATGAAAAGCGGCGGCTTCGCGCTTCGGCAACATATACCGAACGGCTCGCTTCCCCGGGAGCCCACACTCACCATGTCGACTTTTAGGGTTCAGGATACATATTCGTCAGCCATCGAAACCCGATGGAGTCAGTTTTACACAAGGGACATGGCTCTCCAGACGCGAGGCTCCCTATCGGAACTTTTTCTTCACGGGAGGGGGCGGGTTATATTGGGGCCGTTTATCGGTTGTGACGTTGAGTGCGAGAGGACGGCAGATCTACCCGACGGTATGTGGGAGCAGTGTCTCATCGGGTGTTATGGCCCCGTCGAACTGGCCACTTACTCCGACAGCCCCTTCACAGACACCTAAGGATCGTCTCATGAACCGCTTTCTCCAGATAGGCCGCGTGGGGGAGAGGAACGCTGCCGACCCAAATCAACATCCCCCATCTTGGAGCTCGGCGGCTGATCGGTATCGTCGTAGCAACTGGGCCGGGCCGCCGACATTTTGTTTCGGTGTGGCTGACGTGGTAATAAGAGCCTCGTGTATTGAAAAATTCGTCAAATGGTTTCAACCCCTTGTGCCAAGTTGACTACGGAGGGATCAGCTTGCTCTTTGGTCTATATCACTTTACTGCCTCATGCATAGGACCGGCGGCAATTGTCGGGACTGAGCAGACCGTGGATTTAGGCGCCGATGGGAGAGAAAGTGAGAGCTGAGGTTCAATACTCTGCGAACTGGTCCCCAGAGATATCATTGGTGTTGAGTTGCGAATGGAGATGGGTGGATACTGGGTCAACATAACATCAATGTCGAAACCTCGAGGACGTGGACTGTTTCAGGTCACGACATCAGCACATACGGCCACACCCATTGGAAAACTCGCGATTCCGTCCGTTCTACCATGGATAAGTCAACCAGGACCGGATGAATAACAGGTTCGGATATGCCTAGCCACGGCCTCAACGGGCTTACGGACCCTCTACAATGCTGTGCCGTTCCCACCGCCATCTGCTCTCGCTAAGCGGCCGCCGGGCCTGTCGGCTTGTGCTTGAAGAGAGACAGCGAGAGGTATCTGGCTCGATTCCGGGATTAGCAAGTGAATTTGTGGCCGGTAAACCTAAACTGATGCCGCTCGTTTTCTCATCCTCCTCCTCTCTCATCCACCACATTCTAGCTTTCTCCATACTCTATCAATCTCAGCGACGATGGCTCCGGGTCGCACTAGTAGCACAGGTCAGCCCGTAAGGTGACCATTCCCTGAGACCCGCTACCTCAAAAGCAAAAGAGAAAAAAACCCAACGAGCCCAGGCCCACTCAAAGGGACAACACACAGGAACCATATTGCATATGACCTAACAAGATACAGGCGTCACGAACCCACCCGGTGGCTATCAGATTTACCTGTACTTCATCATCTACTCCAATAGTCCCAAGCGTACCAGCAATTTTGAAAGAAAACGCTTCTACCGTCCTGCAAGCCAACCCTGCTTATTATTCCCTTCGGGAGATTTCATTCGCCGCTTCGTCTGGCAGACGCAGGTTTTTAGATTGTGATACTACACATGAACCGTTCATCGTCAGAGGCATAACTCTCCGTGAAAAATTGGTGTCTGCCGGTCTCAATGAGATTACCTAATGGCTAGATTGTTAAGAAACTGCTGTCGCTAGGCGGTTATCAGTGTAAGCACCGGACGGGTGCGGGGCGGGGTTATGGGTCCGTAGCCGAACGTACAACGGGCCAGCCCAGGCCCTGGCGCTGGATCGCCCGGCCTCTTATACAAACAATCCTATAGGATAGTGCACCAATCCCCGACCTCAGATATTTTCAGGTGTTTTCATCATTGGTTAACAGGCGTCACGACATTTCCAAAGTTTCGACAGTGAGGATAGTATCTCGTCCAAGGGAGACGCTGCCCACACGGCCTTCAGCTAACCCTCTAGGATTGTATGCCGATCCTTTACCTCAGACCTTCTCAGTTATTGCCGTCATTGTTCGTAGGATAAATTCGAATCTGTAAGTGAGGGACCCCTATGCTCTGCCCAACGGGATGTTACGACTTTTTCCAAATTTCGACAATTAGGAGAGTATCTCTTCAAAAAGGAACCGAGGCACGACGAGAGTTGAAAGGAGAGGCCTCTTATACAAATTGTGAGATCTAAGCTGGGCTAGTAGGGTACTGATTTCAACCTTTGGGGACTGAGAATAGCCGCTCCCTTCAATGTGTGCCAGAAACCTACTACTTTGTGGCAAATACATTCCGCGTAACCAACAACTCGTGTTACGCTGTAAGAACTCGGGGCGGAACAGTACTAGACATTTTGACGCCCCCTTGGTGCTTATTCAAAGTAAGCCGTTTTTTGAATGGTATGCTTGGGTCACCTATTCCTCTGGCCTCGTCCTGTTGGGCTATGCTTGCACTATTGACCGTCCACGACCCCATCTGCCTTCCTCAGCAGCCCAACGACTGGACTGTGTCTTGTCAAGGGGATGCTGACGCCCCAAGACTTGGCCCCCAACGCCGCTCCCTGCTGCGGCGACGCAAACGCGAACCTATATCATCACAAAGACTTTAGGCCACACCCACGAGTTTAAGTTTGTGCAAGATTTAGCCTTGTCACTTATATTGGCTGCTTGGTGGGTGGGCACCGCATCTTTTACATCGCAGGCGCGCCGCAATGTTCACATTGCTATCTAGACGCTGGCTGGTTTGCTGGCCGGTTTGCTGGCCGTGACCTCCGGGTATCGGTCCCTAAGTTCTCTGTGATAACTGCAGTCGTTCCACTTTTTGCACTATCGTGACACTTGACGGCCACTCTACAGCTGCTGAAACTGCTACCATTCCCGTTGATGCCGGACTCGTCCCCGTTCACTCACAACCATGCTCCTCGTCGCAAAGATCGTTGCTATGCTCGCAAATTGCAAAGGGGTACGGTCCGGAGCCGGGTGGGATGATGCCGCGATCGTCCCTCGGCGTAGAGCAACCACCTGGCCACCGGCGATTCTCGGAGCGTCATCGCCGCAGAGATTTTAGGATTCTGACTCGTTGCCCTGGAAGACGACACCAGAGGCGCGTATGCGGAGTCGAGTGGCTTGGAAAGTTTTGTGCGCGAACTAAGAAACGCCCCGTTCTGGTTCAAGTCTATCAACAAGGAGACATGGAGTAGGACGTCCCAGTCAACATCCGAGGCAATCAATTTGCAACAACCATATACGTTGTCAACGTCATGGATAGTGTCTCGACTCGTAAATTTGTAAAAGGTATAGACAAGGCGGACGGGCCCGGTAGCCAGTTGGGGGCCAGAAACATCGCTGACTGACAGCTTGTCAGCAACTCGCATTGACCAAGATATTGTGCGGTGTTGCAGTTCACGCCAGACATTGACCATTTCTTGAGTGTTTCCTGTCTACTAGAGGTTGTGTTGATTGTTCAATATATCAAAGCTTGTGTTAGCTATACTGCGGTAGATTGGGCCGAACTCGAGGAAATGGCGGAGAGAGGGGCACCTCGGCCACCGCAGATTTTTTGGACCAACGAAGGTACTTACTTCAACCCCACTGACACCTCGACTCCTTTAGATTAACTGGCCATAAATCTCCGGGGTGGTCCCTAATAGTTAGTCTGTATACGTTCCAAAAGACCAGCAAAAGATGACTTCCAGCAATTCTCAACCGTGTGAAGGTCACGGTGAAGATGTGCAGCTGAACTAAAAGTGGAAATGACATTGCCGGCAGAGGCAGTTCAGTGGCGCACCGTAACGATCGGGCCGCTCACCTTCTACAAAGCGGCTCTTGCACCAACCGGTTCCAACCCATCCCAGTCGAGTTTTCTGGCCATTGCGGGCTTGGGCAGGAGTTCCCCCGGCATCGTGAGTCAGTTGCCATCCTCTTCGTTATCGCATACTGGCCTGACAGCACTCTATATGCTCCATCATCTGAACCAGGAAAAGACAGGATAGGCAAACAGTAAGACGGAGAACCCTGCCGAGATGGGCCATCGTCCGGAGAGACAAACACCCGCTGGATAGTGCACCGTCTAGCAGAGCGACCACGCGGGCCTCCCAAGGCGGCAGACTTCGCTGGAGAGGAGGACTTAACTTTTGTGTTGCATGCCCAACGCTCGCCAAGGCAACCTTTATCGAGAGAGTCGACTCAATGCCCTATAGAACGTGACGAGGCATTCTTAATAAGGTCGACCTACTGTTGGGTGCTCGGACCAAACACGGCATGCGCGGGTCGGCAAAGAGCGTCTTCCAAACATTTGTCATTCAGTGGCCGTGGCGGTTCGTTACCTCACGGTTCCAATGTGAACTCTATTCACGAAAGTGACGACGACTCTCTCGAACTAGAGTCGCTTGATCATAACGCTGCCGCGATACCGTGAATCTACCTGAGGAAAAAGAAACCACGCTCCCGCTTCCTGGAACCTGAACGATCGTCGGAGTGGCATTCGCGGCGGTTGGGATGAAACACCCGTAACCAAAATAACTCAGGGCAACCGGCTTCGCATTCACTTCAGACGAGACCATAAACGACTGCCGTCACAAGACATTGGATGACCCCCTCAAACCGCGGAGATTAGGAAAATATCCAGAGGTGATGAGGAGGAAAAGAAATGGCGAGGCTTGGGATTTTGGATGACAGCCTTTTGCCTCTTCGGTTCTCATCCCCAGGGCAGCATCAAAAGACAAGGAGGTGGCAACTGTGCCAAGGAGGTTGCGTTGGCGATCATCAATAGGAGCCAGAAAAGGTCTCCTCAAGGCCCCCCCCCATGACGTCGGTCAGAGCCCATCAAGCAGGCCATTTCGATTCTTCTCGCGTGGGACAAATGACCAGACCATCGGCTATCGTAAGCGGCTCGGGCGAAACGGCACGCAACATCTAGAACCATCGAATCGAGTACGACATGCAACTTCTAGAAGTGGCAAGCGAGTTCGGGCCAGACTCAGTTCTGCTCGTTATAATTGGACATTGTAAGATGGCGACTGCAATGGGATGCTCTCGCGATGGCCGTGTGGCCCCTGGATGTGCAGTACGTCGGTCTGAATGTCCGTTTGATCGACAGCCACGACCGGATCAGCAGCGAACGTGGGTCTCCCCGGACGGATGGGACGACGGCGAGCCCCAGTTGTGCAAGTTGCAGCAAAGCCGACAACCCGCGCAGTCCCTCATCTCGGAGCAACCATCTTCCACCGGTCCCTTGGCTGCCGCAAGCCCATTTTCTGCTGGTGGGGGCGACGCAGCCAAGATACGCTTCAAGGTTGCGACTAGTGGCCGGACTAACAACAGCCTCAATATCCGTAAGGTTGACATGTTGGAGATTGATTAAAGTGTTTGACGGCCTGTAGCACTAGATACGAGTTGGCGCACTTTTGTCTTCGGAGGAATAATGTCGCACTACTGACTAGCCTTTGAGCTTGTCTCCATGTACCCGCAGCACTGGAGTTAACAGTAGTCGTCTGTCACTGCGTAGTGTAACCGACCCCCTTTCTCGCATACCGCGTCACTCGGTGCCGACGACATATCGATTGGGCAAAGTGATAAACGAATTGGTGATCGCCAGATTTTTGAGAGCCGCGCCATCGTCTACAAGTGCCTCGTGGCGAAAGCGAAGGGATCGCCCTTCCCCGCGCTCACCCGCGCTCAAGCGAAGATGTTTGTGGTTTGCCTCCCAACGGTTCGCGCAAGGTGCTCTTTCTCTCCATGCCTCGCCCCATCTGACAGGCCGCAAGCCGCAACGCCTTCACGTTTCGTACGGGGCTGGCAGGGCCTGACGGGCCCGACGGGCCAGGCCTGGAAGCGCATCTGGGCATGGTGGCCGTCAGAGCACCTTGGCTCTAACCGTGGACGGCATAGTCTGATGTAAGTGTGGAGAAGGAAAAGAGTCGGCTCCCATCTCAGCAAGGCTGCAAAGAATCGCAATCCTGGTCGTGGACTCTCGTCCGAGCCCCTACTCGGGCCACCTCAGCTCAGATGATACAGCATCTGCCTCATCGCTCGAGATTCTGTGGAAACAGACGAACACGATCAGCAGTCAACGAGAATCGATTCGCCCGTCATGGCCTAGTCGACTGCCATACCAGCACTGGCATCCCATCCGACGCCATGCCTTTGGCCCTCGAGATTTGAGATAGGAAAAGGTTTGCAACGGATGCCCTTGCAACGCCGAGCTCCCCGTGGCAAGGGGAGACACGTGCAAGAGACGAAGATAGCTGCAACAGCCCAGGCCCTCCGACTGGCAGAAACATCCCGTGAATAGGGCTGGTGGACCAAGCCGACAAGCAGCCTGGAGTAGAGCGAAAATTCACCCCGCCGTTGGGGGATGTTTACCCGACCGACCCGCCGTCCTTCGCCCTCGCCGAGGGCCTCATGACGTGAGCGCAGCGACTCACGCAGAGGCATTTTTGGCAGTACGCAGCGCTGACTCGATACACACCATTCTGCTAGTGTAGCCTGCGCCTCTCTCATGGTGCTGTGTCTCTCCGAATTTCTTGCGGTGCCTGACGGCCCTCAAAAAGAAGTTGGCCAAAGTTGTTGTGACGGAGAGATGAGGCGATTCCCAGCATTTCCATCAGCTGGTAGACAGCAGCACACCCACCGGTTTCCCAGGAGCCTTCGGACACACCAGACCAGGCTGGCTGATATTAGAAGAGATGGGCCGCAGAAACGTCGACTATTGGGCGAGCCGGTAGGAAGGGATGCAGGAGGCGACGACGTTGGAGGAGGGGGAACAAAAAAGGTTTCGGCATCGCCAACAGCCGCCCCTTCTACAATCCCTGCACCGGTTTGATCCACCAACTTGGCAACGTCGCGCTAGTCCTAAGAGAGTATAGCATCTGAAGGTTTTCTCCTAGTGCCCCCCAGATTTGGGGCTCAAGTCCAACGTCAAACCTTGTCATCTTCAACCTCGCAGCCAGGGGCTCGAGCAATTTGGGCAACACGACGAAACCCAGACGTGTCACATCACTGCTTCACCTCATCGCCACTCAATGCCTCACACCAAGCCTATTGCTGGTGTGAGGAGCGCACACGCACACACGATCTCTCTTTCTTTCTCTCGCTCTCAGCCAGTCAGCCTTTGCGTCGGCCCACAGCACCCATTCGCCGTCTGCTGGGTTGTTGCGACGAAGACCGTGTAGAACCCAGTTTTCTCCGTCTCCTCAGCCCCCCTTGTTCCTCGTGTCGTCGAGCACCTGGTTCTCACTTCGCTGGATGGCAAGGGGGTCTGAGAGGCAATTGGCACCAGGTATCGGCCCAGCCAAAGTTGGCGGGGTCGTGACGAACATGGTTGTCATCCCGCGCCCAGCCCAGTCTTCCATGTTCCAAGCCCTCTCTCGACAAGGACCAAGACCAGCTGCGATGCCGTGTTGAGGCCCTCGCGGCCAACTTCTAACCAGCAACATGCACGTCAAAAGACGTTCGCCCCATCTGAGCCCCTCACTGCCCATCATCCAGTCACGGGCCGGGCTGAGGTACTGGTGGTCTCCCATTCGCCCGCTGCTGGACCCATGGTCCTCGTCGTCTGGATGGGCCGTCTTTCCCACACTTGCCCGGGGTCTTCTCTCGAGTCTTGCACCCTCTGTTAGACCATCCATCAGCCGTGCTACCCTTGCCCAAGGTTGGACTTGGGCCCCAGTTGGCGGTTTGGCTAACCCTCCGGACCTCACCTGGCCCGCGCGGGGGCCCTCCCGAGCCTCTCCCTTGCTAGCCCCCTACTGAGGTGGGCCTCTCTGTCTTCTGTGATCGCTTTTTGACCTTTTCATGCGGCCTCTCCTCGCCTCTCTCTACCCGTTGGACTTCTGGAAGTGGTCTCTTCTCCAGGCCGGTCCCTTTCCTTTCTCTTGAGTGGCTGGTCCTATCGCTCCTTGTTTCTATCCGTAGGTCCCGACTTTGCCTAGTGTCTGTTTCGTCTGGTCCGCCCTCTTCGTCCAAGAGCGGCAGCCCTTTACAATCCGTCCTGTCTTTTCACTTACTCTTTTCACTTCTCCATCCCATCCGCACGATCGCCATCCTCCCTCTTCCCTTCCTCATCCTCATCCTTCCACCACACTTCTTCCTCCGACAGCGACATCTTCGACCGGTTTATGGATTAGATGGTTCGGGAAGCGAAGTAATATCTGGCACCCGCTGCGGCTCGACGCCTGCGCTCTCATCTCTTCGACCAGTGCCAGGTGAATAATCGACGAGATGGATAGCTGGGGGTATGGTCACCTGTGGACGCGGGACGATGCCGGCGGCGTAACGACTGGTGATGGATATGGCGCGAGCGACTCATTACGAGGCCCCTACAAGGCCACGAGCAACTCGACGTCGGCCATCATCAACCAATTCCGTTTTCAGTCCGCGAAATCGATCCGAACCTCGACCATTATTCTCGCCGTCTTCAACGTAATCGCCGCCTTCGCAACAGCAGTTGGAATCTTTTGGGACGGATATGCAACGGCAAAGAGAAACAATCAGAAGTTTGGGTTCAGGTACGGCAATTGGCATCGCCATCGAGGAGGAAGCACCGGCTAACAGCTCGTTCCAGAACGCATGGTTTCACGTTTGTTGGACCTGCCGAGTCCTTCCCTCTGATTCTCTCTGTCGGTATTGTCGTCCAGGGCATCGTCTTCGCCGTTGCACAGTCGACTGGACTCGACCACCTCTTGACCCTGGGGTGCACCATCACCTCCCAGATGATGCTGCCCGGTACGTGATCCCCAGACCCCGCCAACTCGAGCCTCACTGACGATACCCGTAGCGGTCTTCATTGTTCCCTACATTCAACTAGTATTCGCCCTAGAGGTGGCTTTCCGGTCTCTGCGAAAGAACCCATTGCCGCCTCGTAGCAAGTGGAACGTCACTATCTGCCTAGCCATCGTCGGCACTTTTCTCCTTGTTACCTATCTCGTTACTCTCTTTGTCCGCCCTCCCAATTTCTGCTTCGCCTCGCTCTTCTGGTTCGTTCAGCGCTGGAAGGAGGGATGCTTTGTTATCCTTACCTTTATCTCGGTGGCACTTCTTGCCTCGACTCTCGTCATTTTCTTCCGACTACACAACAATGCCAGAATCGAGAACAGCGAGCGTATTGCTGCTTCCAGGATGGTCTACTTCCTGGCTGTCGCCTTCATCTCAACTGTAAGTAAAGTAGCCTACTCTCGTACGTGCATCCGACTGACAACGGGCTTAGACTCTTCTCATCCCCTTCTTCTTCAACCTCTCCTTTACGGACCAGCAGAGTGCCACTGGGCAGGCTCTTACGCTCTCCATGATTGCCTCTGTTGTTGCCAACGTGTCTGGCCTAATGACTGGCGGCCTGCACCTATTTCTTCGATCAAACACTCTCTCTACCATCGGCCCCCGCCAAAGTGAAAAGTGGGAGTCCGAGCGTAATAAGCTCAAGGCCGGCATTCGTGTCTATAATGGCGATGACGACTACGAAAACCACATGATGAACCCTGTCGGTCGTGCCCGATCCCTCCGACGAATGGACAGCACCGAGAGCCTGGTGCCCGAGAAGGAGGAAGAGGCCCGCATTGAGAGCCCTTCCGGCTCGCCTACTTACGCCAATCCTCTCCGATCGAATGCTGTATGGGAGCCGGTCCGTTCTCCTTTGAGAACGCCCGAGCCCGTGCAGGTCCCGACCTATCAGGTCCCAAAGGCCCACGCCCGCAAGAGATCCTACTCCTTGTTCCCGTCCGAACAGCAAAACAACACCAAGTCAGTCACTCTGCTCCCGGCCAAGACATACGCCCCGGCGCGAGGATGCCCGATCCAGAACCGAGGATGCTTGATCAGGACGACATAATGTTTCTCAGACCCCCTCCGTCAATCCACCCTCAAGGCATCCGCCATCGTCGCGATTCTTCCCTCGCTTCGTCGGCAACTGTGCAGATTGGCCTGCGGCTGTCAAACGTCGATGACATGCCGCCTCTCAACTCGCAATACTTCCAAAACAATACTAGCGTCAACAGTCTTAGCTGCCCTGACGACCGGGACGACGAAGCCTCTAAGCGGCCTAGCCCCTTGGCGCAGGTTGATGTCGTCAGCGACATCGAGTCGTCCGACTCCGAGGAGGATGACACTCTCGTGTCATCGCCCATCCGTCACGAGAAGAACATACGGATGAAGACTCTCCCGTCTGTTCCCAACGTCACTGTGCCCAGACAGTCGCAGCTGAAAGAGCAAGAGCCGGAGCAGCTCACCCTGAGCCCGGCGGTCTATAGACCTGAAAGCCCTCAGAAGACCAGAGTCACTAGCCCCCAGGGCGTTGGCTTCAACACCCCCGCGCCGCGCAAGAAGTCGCCGGTCAAGTGCACCAAGCAGAATTGCCAATGCTCTGCTCAGCACGACAAGCGCGACTGGATCTGAAGCCGTACCATCACTGGCATTCTGAAGTCCGGAAGCGATAAAATAGACGTACCCTACAACGGACGGTAAAAGCGTTTGATCCGATTATTTAAGTCACAGATCGGAGTTGACGGCACAACACAAATTTTCTCTTCTTATATGTACTATTTCATTGTATGGCGTTTTTTACTTGCGGAGATACCTGTACGACATAAATGTCTACATATTGTTTGTTTTCTTTATCTCTCTGACGATGCGTATGTAATGACGTATTGTGTACGATCTGGATGGGCACGGCTTTCATTGGAGAGCTGCAAGGCCTCAGGATGGGAGGAATCAAGAGTCTTGGGAGTCCATAATGGATGGATGGACACGATGGTATGATTAGTTACGAGGCGGGCGGAGGGGAGGGCGGAGGTAAATGCCACTAGAGAGGGCTTCCATATGGCAAAAGATATGATAGCTCAATGAATCAAAAGAGCTCAAACAAAATGACCGTCTTCTCCGGCTTGTGTGACAGTGACATCGAGCAACACTTGCACCTAGTATGACAAAGCCTGGTTGGCCTAGTGCGGGGTGTTCTTCTGTACTGCGCGAGAATACTGATTAGATTTCCGTTCGAGACCAATTTGCTATCTGCTCTTCTGCTGATCCGCCGCCACGCGTCTCTCCTCCCACTTGTCCCAGCCAGCTTGGCACGGGTCCTCTTCCACCACAAGATCGCGGAATCTGAACAGCCGCGCAATGGGAGTTTGCAAGCCCCAGGCCAGGAGACCAAAATCCCTCGCAACGGCCGTGACCATGAACCAGCCCACAGCACACACCGAGCCGGCCAGACAACCCACCAACACCTGCTTCACGGTGTGGTAGTTGAGGTATATCCGGCTCCAGGCCACCGCGGCGGCGATGCCGAGCGCGGCGGCGCTGACGACGACGCGCTCGACGAGCGAGTAGGGCCGGTGGTGCCTCCGCGCGGAGGAGGGCCGATGCCTGACTAGAAGGAACAACACGAGGAATATGGACCAGTAGGCGACGAACTGGGCGTGGGAGCTCGGCATGCCGTAGCCCTTGCCGTGGATGCGGCGGGGGCGCTCCTCCTTGATGAGGCGCTTGAGGGCGAAGTTGATGGCCTCGCAGCCCAGCTGGCCAGCGAACATGAGGACGATCTCGACCTCACGGGTGGACCAGATCAGGGTCGCATAGACGATGCACAGGGCCTGCGGGAGCAGGGCGAGCCACGCGCAGAGGAACGAGAGGGGGTCGTCGGGGTCCTTGGAGGAGGTTCTGTTAGTCTTGTGCGAGCAAGGTAGGAGGGAGGGGGATGCCCAGGTTGGTCTCACATAGTAGACGTGAGTGAGGGAGAGCGAGGCTAGAGGTCTCGTGTCTTGGTCCATGCTTTCAACTGCGCAGTTTCGACTGCATTCCCGGTCTTGGCTTAGGTTCCAATGGCTGTCTCTGGGGGAGTTGGTGCTCTTAAATGAAGACTCTAGCGCTAGACTCCATGTGGTTCGGGAAAGAGGGTGGTTGAATCGTGTAGCGGACGAAATCCCGACTCCTCACAGGGGCTGGTAAAGTTGGAGCACACGTCGCGGATCGTGGTGCACAGCACTCTAGAAATGTCAAAGTGCTGCTGTGCTGGCGCACTTGCACTGCCAGCTTCTTTTTCTCTCTCTCCGTATTTGCATAAGTACGTCAGGTTGCATAGCTCAGAGCTCGGGCCAATCGAGAGCTCCATGTCCCACCAGTGCAAATAGTGCAATACAGCGGCCTTCCGTGGCTTTGTGGCTTAGCTTTGTTCACACCCAGCGAGAGGAAGGAGCTGATTAAACAAACGAAACCCAGTCTTTTTTTTTTTCCTCCTGCTTATTGCCCCGCGATTGCCAGCCAGCGGCAAAGGAGTCATCACTTCCACTCTCAGTTGCCCCGCGCCCGGCCAGCCGTTTTTGACTTGGGCTCTCTCTCACGCAGCAGCTATTCTGAGTGTTGCGCACCGGAACCCTTGCCCTTCGGCCCCGAGAGGAATTTAACAGAAAATAATGGTCCTATCATAGCCAGTCGCACTTCTCGCGGTTTCCGCGCCGTTTCCGTTGTTTCCAAATAAAACCAAACCCATTTTCGCGACTTCGCCACTAGTTTCCTCGCTGCCTCTTCGATACCCATCTCCATATGTTTGTTGCTAATCCATAGGAGCGCAACCCCTTTCCATATCCTGCGCTCTCTTACGAACACTCAAGAGCCTAAAACCACTACCGCGGTCGCTTCAGAAAGCATGAGATACGCCTGCCTCAACCGGTAGCCATGGACGCCGACAGCGATGACCCGCGCCAGGACGAGCTCAGCTCCCTGCAGGCCATTTTCCCCGAAATCGAGCCAGACGACCAGCGGCCCTTCTGCTTCACCATCGAGCTGCCGGTTCATCCTGCGAAGCCCGTGACCGTTGCGTTTCCCGCCGCCTCCATTGCCGAAGACGCTGCTGCTCAGCTCCCAGGCGTCGAACCCCGCGTCGATTCTCATGAGCTCTCCCACCTCCCCGCCGTCGTGGTCCGCATGGACCTGCCCAAGGGCTATCCGTCAGAAAGGCCGCCCAGCGTCAGCATAAGCACATCGCCACCATGGCTTACAAAGGACGTCACTAAGAAGCTGGAGGACGACGGCGCGCGGTTGTGGGAGGAGATGGGCCGCGACATGGTCGCTTTCACGTACATTGACCACATCCAGCAAGCAGCGGACGATGTGTTTGGCATGGTTGACGGGGATGGCGCTCTGGTGATTGACCCATCCCACAAGATTGCCATCCTGGACTATGACATCGAGGCTGCTCGGGCTGCGTTTGAGAAGGAGACATTTGACTGCGGCGTCTGTCTAGGTACGAGGCTCTGTGGCGACTGACTGTCCGTTCAAGACCGCTAATCCGTTGCGCAGACCCCAAGAAAGGTTCCATGTGTCACAAGATGCTCGATTGCGGTCACATATTCTGTAAACAATGCTTACAGGAATTCTACAATAACGCCATTACGGAAGGAGACCTGGCAACAGTCCGCTGTCTTGCCCCGAACTGCTCCAAAGAGCGCGCCGAGGCTGGGCGGGGCAAGGGCAAGAAGCGCAAAGTCAAGACCTCCATCAGCCCCAGTGAACTGCTCCAAATGGGCCTGTCCCAAGAGACGGTGACTCGTTACGTGACCCTCAAGTACAAGAACGAGCTCGAGTCAGACAAGAACACCATCTACTGTCCCCGGTCGTGGTGCCAGGGCGCTGCGAGATCCAAGAAGCACAGGAAGCCCGAGGGGCTGGAGCTCGTTGACGAGAGTTCGGACGAGGATACGGAAGACGAGGAAGGCACAAACGGCAAGAAGAAGCAAGCTTTCGACAGTGGAGACCTTTTGGCCATATGCGAAGATTGCGGCTTCGCCTTCTGCAGCCGCTGCTACCAGTCGTGGCACGGCGAGTTCTTTCGCTGCGCGCCCAAGCGAGACAAGGGCGAGCTTTCGGCCGAGGAGCAGGCCTCGATCGACTACATCAACCTGCATACGACGCCGTGCCCGACGTGCGGCGTCACGGCGCAGAAGAGCCACGGCTGCAACCACATGATCTGCTTCCGTTGCGCCTCGCACTTTTGCTATCTATGCTCGGCCTGGCTCGATCCCAGGAACCCCTACGCCCACTTCAACGAGCAGCCCAACGGCAAGTTCACGTCGTGCTACATGCGCCTGTGGGAGCTGGAAGGCGGCGATGGCGATAACGTCGACCACGGCTTCGCCGGTGGCGCGCGACCGGCGCAGAATGAGGCCCCCGGCCCCGTCGAGATCGTCCACCTCGTCCCTGAGATTGAGGAGCCGGACGACAGCGACTCGGATACGGAGGCGGACGACGTTGCCCAGCCGCCGCCCCTCCGGCGGGCGGTGTTGCGCGAGAAGGACCGCTCGTCCTGCGGATAGGAGCCGATCCAGCTCCTCGGGTCGGTCGAGGAGGAGCAGGGGCAGTCCACGGTCCTATCCCCCGGCCGCGCCACCAGCGCCGGCTAACCCCGCGAGAAGAGGCGGTCCTCCCGTACGAGGCGGACGTGGCGGACGAGGAAACAGAGGCGTGGACGTTCGTGGCGGCCGGCGGCAGAACCAGCAGAGGAACCCGGCACACCGCGTGCCCGTTGTCGGCAGGAATGGGGAGATTGGCATCGGCGTCGTGGATGACGGCGAGCTCGATCCGGTACAAGAAGCCTGGATCAGACGCTTCGTACAGATGGCTTTGGTCGACGAGGAAGAAGACAGCGACGAGGGATGAAAGGTCTCTCTGGTAGGCGAGACACTGTTAGCTGGGTACGATTCTGAGCGAATAGACAGGAGAGCGTCGAGCGCTCGCGGCAAGGCAACTTGGAGACGGGACTATGGGACTATGATCAGACTAGACAACGAATCTAATGAACCACCGAGCTTTCGGCTGGGAGACACAGCATGCTGCGTATGTGATGAGTCTGCATCGTCAACCTGCATCGTGACGAAAGGCACCGTCGCACAGCAGCGACCGAGGCGCCCAAACAGGCGGCGGCAAGGGCCGCCGCCTTCCCCCCCCCCTTTTCCTGACAGCCAGCTTTCGACCAGGAAATTGAATGAGCTTTGATATAACGTAAAGGGGCATGAACATTTCAAGTCCCCCCCTTCTTGGTGTTCCCTTCCCTGGCCGTCTCGCAGCGCTCGATCAAGGGGACATGAGCGCGCGAGATTACCGGTAATTCCTGTACCGTTCTTCGAGCACCTCGCCCCATGGAGAGACAACACAGGGCCCCCGTCAAAGGAGGTGGGCCTTATATGCCCAACCCGACAGGTTTCTCCATCGACTCTTGACTGCCGAACCGATCGATCATCTATGACTCTCCTTTTCTCTCTCTCTCTCTGCCACGGACCAGGGACGGATCGGCCGAGGATTATGCGTTGCAGCAGCAAGGCGGGCGGTGCTCCGTCGCACGCGAGATCTCTCGGCCACTCTCGGCCACGACCACTTCCGGCTCGGAGCCAGCAGAACGGGACCCTTGGCTCGGCTCCAACACGAAACGATGCAGGTTGTGTACACACTGCGCGAAGTCTCTCCCACCCCCCACTCGCCACCATGACATGTCGTGATGACTCTCTCTGTCTTGTTTCCCACGGGATCTGACGACGGCAATCCGTCCATCCACCAGCGTGCCCAACCCATTCCCATCGTCCGCCCCATCTGCCGTGGGACGATATCATTAGTGACATTAAACCCCATCCCGGCAAGAAAGGACACACACAAACGCGCAGAGGGACGAGGGGGGGGGAGGAGAGTCAGAGGCGGGCCCCCTTCGCGAACGTCGTATCTGGAAGGAAAGACAGAGGGACGATCAACGGACTACAAGTCTGGGGATACGATGGGGAAAATCCTCCTCGACGTTCCATTCAATTCAACGCCGCCTTGGAGGAAGAGGCTCTCTCTCTCTCTCTTCTCTTTTATCCCTTTCCACATGTTCGTCGTTCCTAGAGTTAACCCGCCTCGCATGAGTCGTTCTTCTACCAACGTCAGAGTCTCCTCTCCTGCCGCCGGCTAACACGCAGTATATCACGCACACGTGCCTCCTCAATATTGCCTAGTCCTGTGCCTGCGGGCGGGCGAGCGGGCGGTGGAAGACTCTGTGACAGTTCATATATATAGTCTTTTTATCTCCTAATCCGAGCCCTATCGTTCCACACCCCTGGTTGTACGAAGAGAGAGGTAGCAACGATCAGGGGGAGGGGGGGAGGCACGATCAGGGAAAGGTACCATACAAGGCATCGACGTAGCTCTGGGAAAGGGTTGGGAAGGAAACGGGAGAGGGAGAGCAACGCGAGCTCGCGGCAGGTGACAGGCAAAAAAGGAACACTCAGAGTTGCTTAGAAACGGCTGCTACTCTGCCAACCTCGCAACGGTATCCTCTCCACACTCGAAAGCAAGCGGCGGGCAAGTCTTGGACGAGGGACGGGTGCGGACGAGCGACGACGGGCAGCGGGCTAGGTACGGTGGTAGTGGCGGCGGACGGAATAAACGTGGGAAAGGTCCGCAAGCGAATGTGTCCAGAGTCGATCTAGCTGGCTGATCCGCCCAGCCCAACCGGCCGTCTAGCCAGACTGACCTAACGTTCTTCCCGGGGGCAGGCTCGCGTCTGCCGGACCCGGAAAGGATAGGCCAGATTACAAGGGCCTGCTCATTTGCGAGGAAACAAGACAGACCCCGAAAACCAAAGCCAGCCATCCGGCCAACCAAAGAGGGGCCCTGGGGTATTCACCGATGGCGTGGCAGTCCACATAGTAGCAGTTAAGAGAGAGGAAAACCCCAAAAGAGTATAACTGCACTAATACAGTTCGCTACAGTACACTGTGAGCATCGTTGCAGAAAGAAGAGGGGGGTGGCGTGAGCACGAGTCGGGAGGTGACGGAGAGGGGCCCGTCTGGCCAGCGTTTATCCAAGTCGAAAGACCCTAGATCCAAGGTCTTAATACCAAGGTTCTTGGTTCAAGGCCTCGATATCCCGTACGAAAAGTGTCCCAAGGTAGGCAAGGCATAAGGCAGGAAGAGAGACAGCCTGCCGCAGCGAGAGTGTCATGCGAGTACCAAGGGATAGGAGTGTAGCGTGGAAGAGAATAGGGGTGCCCTTTGTCATGCAAGCTCTGATCGCCGTTGCGTATGCAACCCGTGTACACACTCTCATCATGTCATAGTTGAGCCGTGGCGTGCAATGATAATGGAGAGAGGAGAGAGAGTGAGTAAATGATAGAGCACGACCCCATCATGGTCGTTGTCGCCGCCGCCGCTGCCGCTATCCCTGTTGTTGTCGTGCTGGGAATGTTGCCGCCGCCTCTGCTGTTACCTGCGTAACGTTAAAACTGGCATCGAGAGTTGAGGACTGAGGCTATCTAGAGCTTGGATCTCATGTGGCCGGAGGATCTCCGGAGGGTTCGGCCCTAGTCGAACGGTGATCATTTTGTTGTGAGCCTGGCCTTGCGGCAGTACACACGCCTGTCCTCTTTCTCCCTCCTTTCACTGGATACTCCTCAAGGATCAGGAGCTCGGGGAGTATCAATCGGGATTGGGGCCAGGCACGTCGACGACGCCGGCGATGTGGAGAAAGGTTTCAAGTGCCGTAGGTTATGGAGGCCCACGACATAATCCACGTCGTACTGTATATTTCCGGATGGAATTCCGTCAGGTTCACTGCAATTCTTTTCGCTTAAGACAAGTGGAATGTGACAAAGAGCGGGCATGGCAACTGTGGGCGAGAGATGGAGCGTAGAACAGCTACGTACGTGTTGTACGCACGCCCACGAGACGACGGACGAAGCGGGCGTCGCAGAGTTCTGCGCGGCGGGCAACCACCAAAGCTGCAGAGAACATGAACAGAAGCCCAGCCAGCGGTCCGACCAGCTGCTGCAGGAAAGGGGCCAGGGGAAGAACAGAGAAAGTTTCTTGTCCTTGCGACTCTAGGTCCACTTTCGCTTCGGAAAGAATCTTGCGATTCAATACGACTCTGTTGGGCGGAGGAGGGGGAGAGGGTTTCAAGAGTACCTTGCTCTGACAATTCCGCGAGTCGCTCTGGCATGAGATGTCAAGGTCTCGACCAGATCATCGTAATCGTACGAAAAAAGCCGCCCTCACGCCCCCTTTTCCTGTGATGCGTTCGTCATCGCGGCGGACTTCAGTCGGCGGACCACCGTTGACAACGCGGACGGGCACAGTCATTGACGCGGGGATGGTCGGCGTCGTCTGGATCTAGGGATTGATAGACACAGGGGCCCTGAGGGTGGTGGCCCTGGATGGACGACAACGACGACGTAAGACGCGACACCACTGACTAGTTTCTCCTCAGTGCCTTGATCGGGGAACCGCAGAGGCGAATTCGCTGACCCTGTCAGCACGCGGTCTGCCACCTGCCATAGCATCTTCAGACCGCCATGCCGCAGAGTTAATGACATCTGGGTACGGCTGCTTTTGTTCGACCGCCGGTGGAACCCTGTATGTCTGCGATTTCCAGAATCTACTTAGCCATGCGCCATAAAACTTCTCTCACAATGAGTTTTCATAAGCATCGAGGTATAACCCGTTTTTTTTCTCGTTAGGGTGTGGTTGTGGCCACAGAACCTCCCATCAAGAGTTACACACGTGCTTGCAGAACGTCCTTCGTAGAGCTCCGGGGTAGCCGCAGCCACAGCAGCTTCAGAAGGTGGTAATTCAATGGAACTAGGCACGACAAGCTCCCAGCCCGTGAACTCTCTTTCGCGCGTATGCCCTCGGGGCTGGGAGTGCGGCGGGTGCTCGCCGTTGTCGCGAGGGAAGCCAGGATATCCAGGACTGATTGCTGTTCGGAATATTACTGTGATGCTATAGAGGAACTTCTGTATGCCTGGTGTGAAGGTCTGTCTCTCGACCGGGAAATCGTTTGCATGGGCGGCCCAGCCACTGGCTTTGAGGGCTTAACAGAGGTGTTATTGCAGCATCGCCAATGAGGCCAGCCGTTTCCTCTTGGGTGCAAGCGTGTGCCGAGCAGGCCCAGGGCATTGCACAATTCGTCGCGCAGAGCCGGTTGCTGCACGAACCTGCACGAGCACGAAGGGCCAGATATGGTGTGCTATAGTCATTGAGCCCCGGCTGCAGGTCTGCTCTTGGATGCGACCTCATCGTCGACCATCGACTCCAAGCTGTGAGACGGAAGTCGAGACTGGCTCTAGGGCAACGTAGGAACCGCTCGAGCAGGGATAGACTTACTTACACTAGAGACGCCATGATCAGAAGCAGCCGCACTTTGTTTCTCTGTTGATGTCTCCCCCGGAAGCTAAGCTGGGTGACGAGAGTGCATGAAGCCAATTGGTCGAGGAGATGAGTCGGCAAAACGCGACTTTGTATTCGGCCCTTCCAGGCTAAATCGAGGTCGTTGAGCGGGAACGGGGGGGGGG